GCAGGTACATCTTTCTATAGCAGAGCAGGGGAGAGAGAGAGAGAGAGAGAGAGAAAGAGAGAGAGAGAGAGAGAGCACGAACAGGGAGGTGACACAGGTTTTCAAACAACCAGATCTCACGAGAACTGTATCATAGGAACAGCAAGGGGGAGGTCTACCCTCATGGTTCAGTTACCTCCCACCAGGCCTCTCCTCCAATACTGGGGATTACAATTCGACATGAGATTTGGGTGGGGACACAGAGCCAAACCATATTGACTATGTTTTTCTCTACTGAGATCTTGGCACTTTTGTTAAAAATCAGTTGACCAAGGCTGGGCATGGTGGCTCATGCCTGTAATCCCAGCACTTTGGGGGCCGAGGTGGGCGGATCACCTGAGGTCAGGAGTTCAAGACCAACCTAACCAACATGGAGAAACCCCGTCTCTACTGAAAATACAGAATTGGCTGGGTGCAGTGGCGCATGCCTGTAATCCCAGCTACTTGGGAGGCTGAGGCAGGAGAATCACTTGAACCCGAGAGGCGGAGGTTGCGGTGAGCCGAGATCATGCCATTGCACTCCAGCCTGGGAAACAAGAGCGAAACTCCATCTCAAAAAAAAAAAAAAAAATTGACCACTGGTGGCAAACTCAGACTACTTAAAAAACAAAAAAACCAAAATCAATCAACCATAAATGTAAAGGTTTACTTCTGGACTCTCACTGTCATTCTACTGACATTAGTCAATCATTATGCCAGTTCCACATTGTGAGACAGAGTCTTGCTCTGTCACCCGGGCTGGAGTGCAGTGGCGTGATCTTTGCTTGCTCCAACCTTTGCCTCCCAGGTTCAAGCAATTCTCATGACTCAGCCTCCCCAGTAGCTGAGATTATAGGTGCGCGCCACCGCACCTGGCTAATTTTTGTATTTTTAGCAGAAGTGGGGTTTCACCATGTTGGCCAGGCTGGTCTCGAATTCCTGACTTCAAGTGATCTGCCCACCTCGGCCTTCCAAAGTGCTGAGATTAAAGGCATGAATCACTGTGCCTGGCCAATTCCACATTGTTTTGATGACTATGGCATTATAGCAAGTTTGAAACTGGGTAATATAAGTCTTTTTTTTTTTTTTTTTTTGAGACAGAGTCGTGCTCTGTTGTCCAGGCTGGAGTGCAGTGGCACCATCTTGGCTTAGCTCACCGAAACCTTCACCTCCCAGATTCGAGCGATTCTCCTGCCTCAGCCTCCCGAGTAGCTGGGATTACAGGCGCCTGCCACCATGCCCAGCTGATTTTTGTATTTTTAGTAGAGATGGTGTTTCACCACGTTGGCCAGGCTAGTCTCTATTCAAACTCCTGACCTCAGGTGATCCACCCAGTTTGGCCCGCTAAAGTGCTGGGATTACAGGCATGAGCCACCACACCTGGCCTGGGTTGGATAAGTCTTTTAACTTTCTTCTTCTTCTTTTAATTATTTTCACTGTTCTGGGCCCTTTGCATTTCTGTATGAATTTTAGGATCAGCTTGTCAATTTTTACAAAATAAAAAAAAAAACCTTTTGGGATTCTGACAGGGATTGCATTGAGTATGAAATCATCTTCTGATGCATAAATTTTGCCATCTGTTGATGAGCATCTGGCTCTTTTCTTTTTTCACTACATGGACGATGTCGCTGTGAGCACGCTCGGTCACGTCTGCTGGTGCCCATGTAAAGCTTTTCTCTAGATAAGAGCCTATACCTAAGAGTAGAACTGCTCTGTGCCTCTTCAGCTTTTCCAGATAATGCTAAGTTATTTTCCATAGTAGCTGTGCCAACATACGCTTGTAGTAGCATGTGGGCGTGTGAGAGTCTGTGCGATTCAACATTCTACCACCATTTGGGATGAGCAGATTTTCTATTTTAATTTTTCCAGTCGTATTTTCTTGTGGTTTTAATCTGCAGTTCCTCGATTACTAATAAAAATGAGCATCTTTTCACATATTTATAGGCCATGGGGGTTTCCTTTTTTGTAAAATGCCCTTTGCTGATTTCTTTTGCCCATTTTTCCATTTTGTTACCTGTGTTTTTCGTACTGAGTTTTGGGATTTTTAAAATGTATTCTGGATAATAATGGTCTACTTCTTTCCTTCCTACTCAGGTCATCTTTGAATGTATGCATTTGTTCTGGCTATTCAAATTTTTTTAACCTTTTTTTTTTTGAGACAGGTTCTTGCTCTGTCTTCCAGGCTAGAGTGTAGTGGGGCAGTCTCAGCTCACTGCAACCTCTGCTTCCCTCACTCAAGTGATTCTCCCACCTCAGCCTCCTGAGTAGTTAGGGCTACAGGCACACACCACCATGCCTGGATAATTTTTGTATTTTTTGTAGAAACTGGGGTCTCACTACGTTGCCCAGGCTGGTCTCAAACTCCTGGGCTCAGGCGATCTTCCTGCCTCAGCCTCCCAAGGTGCTGGGATTAGTGGTGTGAGCCACCACGCCCAGCTGGGATTTGTATTGTTAACACATACCTGGGTTACCTGATTCTTATCAGACAAGTTTAGGAAGCGGCACCAAAGCTTTAAAAACTGTGGCATCTTCAAAACAGTAATTTAAAAAGTAACTTCAATGTATAAGATCATTATAGCTTTAACTTTGGATTAAAAACAAAATCTTGTTCCTGTTGTCCTTTATAAAATATATGTTCTATGAAACCAGCTTGGGAGAAAATCAATGCACAGATGTTTGGAAAGCCCCAGCTGTGTTTAATTTGAAATCCTCTGTTTAAATTCTCTCTCTCTCACCTCACCAGTGGGCGGTAACTCATCGCTGAGAGACGGTGCAAGCCCAGCTCTTGGTAGAACTCAGAGATGTCACATCCCTAGGAACCGAGAACTGTGTATTGTAAACAGTCTCTAAGATTTGGAGTTGTTAGCTTTTTCCAGCCTTGAAATCTCATGGGGCAGTTGTTTAAGTTGGAACTCTCACAAAGGGCATATGAAAATCGCAGAGCGAGGTGTCAGGAAATGGAATTCCTCATACATCCAATTGCCACGTTTGGTGTCAGCACTATTGCTTTTACAGCTTACATTCCTCCCCACCCCCAAATAACATCTGGGCTGTAAGAGGATGTTTCGCAAATCAGACACATTGTTTACTTTTAAGCCTGCAATGCTATGGAGAAACTTGGTGACTCTAACAATTTAGATGTTGGGTAACAACACCAAACTGAAAACACATGTCAACCTATCTCTTGACATGGTGAACGTTCTCACCATTCTCTGCATATTGGAATTGCATATTAAATAATCCTTTCTAAATGTCTGAACATCTTTTTTTTTTAATTTTTAAATGACATTTTTCTTTCTGAGGGTCAACCTTTGGGGTGATGAAGTATAGCAGTTATTTAATTCCTTATGCTGACTTTTGTATGTGTAAAGACTTTAGGGCATGGCATTAAATTTAGTTCTAGAAAGAGCTTTTCTGTTTCTGATGATAAAAGATAACTTAATCTAAGGTGTTTGGGGCCACATTGTGTGACTTCAGTCTTCCATGAAGAGTCCTGAACACTAAATAGCAGATGAGTACTCAGAAAAACAGTTCTGAATGTGTTGGCTGGGTGCAGGGGCTCACCACCTGTATTTCCAGCACTTTGGGAGGCTGAGGTGGAAGGATTGCTTGAGGGCAGGAGTTCAAGACCAGCCTAAGCAACATAGTGAGAACCTGCCTCTACATAAAATTAAAGAAAAAAAAATTAGCCAGCCGTGGTGGTACATACCTATAGTCCCAGCTACTCAGGAGGCTGAGGCGGGAGGATTGCTTGAACCCAGGAGTTCATTGTTGCAGTGAGCTATGATTGCACCAGTGCACTCCAACCTGAGTGACAGAGCAAGACCTTATCTCTAATAAAAGAATAATAAAATTTTTAAAAATTAAATAAAGAGCATGGCTGTGACCCTTTGGCATGAATGAGAATGTAGAATTCAGCAATTCCCTGCAAAGCCAACATGTTCTCAGCATTGAAGGTCATATTTCCAGAGTAGCATGTATTCATTGAAGCTTGTGTTCCTTTTAGGGGGGAATTTGGGACTGAGTATAAATAATCAGTGTGAGTTTATGAAGCCTTGGGGATTTACTTATGGGGTCATTTCTTAGAAAAGAATGTTGGCTGGGCGCGATGGCTCACGCCTGTAATCCCAGCACTTTGGGAGGCCGAGGCGGGCGGATCACGAGGTCAGGAGATCAAGACCATCCTGGCTAACACTGTGAAACCCTGTCTCTACTAAAAAATACAAAAAATTAGCCGGGCGAGGTGGCAGGCGCCTGTAGTCCCAGCTACTCGGGAGGCTGAGGCAGGAGAATGGCGTGAACCTGGGAGGGGGAGCTTGCAATGAGCGGAGATCACATCATTGCACTCCAGCCTGGGCGACAGAGCGAGACTCCATCTCAAAAAAAAAAAAAAAAAGAATGTTTAAGGATGCTGATCACCCTGAAATCAACAGAAGAAGCCAGTCTGCAAAGCAGTTGAACAAAGATGGGGCCACAGATGAGGACTGTGATGAGAGAGATGTCATTCACTTCTCTCAGTGATTTTGAGTGCTTCCTGGTTACCAGTATACAAGCAGGATCCTTTTGGATAAGGCTTTCCTGAAGAAGGTGATATTGTATTTCCTTAAGAGGCTGTGTTACGGGCTGGGTGTGGTGGCTCACGCCTGTAATCCCAGCACTTTGGGAGGCTAAGGTGGGAGGATCACTTGAGGTTGGGAGTTTAAGGCCAACCTGGGCAACATAGCAAGACCCCATCTCTACAAAAAAAGAAAAAAAGGAAAGGAAAAAAAAAAAGAGGTTCTGTTATGAGCAGAGTCTGGCTCTCTTTGTCAAAAGCACTGAGGTTTAGCTTGTCATTCGTTGCTCAGTGCCCCAGCACAGGCCTTGGCACATAGTAAGTATCTCAACTTGTTTATAGAAACCATTAATTTTTCAGGTCTGGAGTGTCCTACCCATACCAGACATGCCAGAGTGAATTTTCTCTCTTTTTCTCTTTTTTTTAGTGTTCAAAGCTTCTTTCAGACACCAGTGTTATTCAGTTCTACCCAAGTAAATTTGTCCTTATCACCGACATACTTGATACATTTGGTAAGTACCTGTCATATGCATCTTAGATCTAGGAAATATGTTCGTTTTGTCAAGAACTGGGTGGTAGAGTTACTGTAAATTAGGTTCTGCCGTGGTTTAAGTTATTAAGTAAGTCATGAGAGAAATCAAACCATCCCCCCCCACCCATTAATAAGGGTGCTATTTTTGAAACATTCTAAAAGTTTATTTTTTCTACTTTTTTTTTGAGTCAGGGTCTTGTTCTGTCATCCAGACTGGAGGGCAGTGGCACAGTTATAGCTCACTGCAGCCTCAAACTCCTGGGCTCAAGCCATCTTCCTGCCTCAGCCTCCTGAGTAGCTGGGACTACAGGCTCATGCCACCATGCCTAGCTAAGTTTTTTTTTTTGGTAGAGACAGAGTCTTGTAGTATTGCCCAGGCTGGTCTCAAACTCCTACCTCAAGTGATCCTCCTGCTTTGGCCTCCCAAAGTGCTGGAATTACAGGCATGAGCCACCATGTCTGGCCTGTTTTTCCTAATCTTCTGAGAGACTAGTAAAGTGAATGAGTGAAGCAGGGCAGGCTGGGGGCACTAAGCAGCATGGGTCCCTTGCCGTCTCACAGGCACCTGAAACTGTACTTGGCATCTGTTCTCAGCCCTTTCCCTTTTCCCACTGAGTTTCTGTCTCCAGGAATGGCACCACCATGTACCCAGTTGCCTAAGCTGGGAATCTGAGCATCTTTCCCCACATGCCCATGTCCAGTCACCAAATTCTTCGGTTCAGCCTCCTAAAGCTCTCTCCAGCATGTCCATTTTTTTCTTTCTTCACTGTTAAATTTTTTTTTTTTTCTTTTTGGAGATAAAGTTTCTGTCACTCAGGCTAGAGTACAATGACGTGATGTCGGCTCACTGCAACCTCTGCCTCCCGTGTTCAAGCGATTTTCCTGCCTCAGCCTCACCAATAGCTGGGATTACAGGCGCACGCCACCACACCTGGTTAGTTTTTGTATTTTTAGTAGAGATGGGATTTCACCATGTTGGCTAGGCTGGTCTCAAAACTCCTGACCTCAAGTGATCTGCCCGCCTCGGCCTCCCTAAGTGCTAGGATGACAGGCCTGAGCCACTGTGCCCAGCCTCACTGTTAAAATTTTAATCCTAGCCACAGCCCTCTCCCACCTGGATAACTTCCTGCATCACTGTGGCTGCCCCTAGTCCCACACACCACCTCACAGGTAGAGTGACCTTTTGGAGCCAGGCAAAAAGGTTTAGACTGAAGAGAATAACCTGGAGGAGCAGGAGGCCCCTGTGCTGCTTGACAGTGGTTGGTTAGGCCAGAGCATCGTGCCATTAGCAGTTTGCTCAGACCATGTAGTCCTCTAAGCTTTATATGATGTGCCCCACAGCGAGGCATCCCACCAGAACTAGGAAATAAGGGCGCTTTCTGAGAGCTGAACACGTAGAAGATCAGAACAGAGACATTCACTGTCTTACAGGGACCAATGGGCTCCCAACCCAGCAAATCTTATCCGTAACCCATTGAAAGGTATAATGTGTCAGAAAGCAAACTGTCAATCTGAGAGACTCATTCATTTCTGTGCATCCCAGTCCTGTCCAAGAGACTGGAGGCCGGAGTGCACTAGCTAAGACAAGTGACAAGAAAGCTAACTAACCTTGGAAAAGGGGGTATTTATTGGCTTAAGCTGAAAATTCCAGGGGTAGTTCTGGCTTCAGGTGCAGCTGGATCCAGGAACCCAAACAGTGTCATTAAGACCTTGCCCTTGGGCCGGGCATGGTGGCTCACACTTGTAATCCCAACACTTTGGGAGGTAGAGGTGGGTGGATCATCTGCGGTCAGGAGTTCAAGACCAGCCTGGCCAACATGGCGAAACCCCGTCTCTACTAAAAACACAAAAATTAGCTGGGTGTTGTGGTGCGCACCTGTAGTCCCAGCTGCTCGGAAGGCTGAGGCGGGAGGATCGTTTGAACCCAGGAGGTGGAGATTGCAGTGGGCCAAGATCACACCACTGCACTCCAGCCTGGGCGACAGGACGAGACTCTGTCTCCAAAAAGAAAAGAAAAGAAAAAAGACCTTGCCCTTGGGTTGGGTGCATTCTCGAGTTTCACAAGGTGTCCTCAGCTTCTGCTAGCTTTACTGCTGGTGGTCCCAGGGCATGGAAAGAGCTGCTTTCTCCAAGCATTCCCACAGAAGTTTCAGAATCCCATCTCATTGGCCTGGGTTGGTTCACTTGTCCGTCCCTGAGCCAGTTGTGGTATCTGGGGGATGAAATGCACTGATTATCCAGGCCTGGTCACCCCAGAACTAAAAGAGTGATACAGCTAGCGGAAGAAAGGGGAGTGGATGCTACCTAGGCAAAAAGAGATGTCCCAGCTGACAGATGAGGCCTGATGGGTTCAGATGGCCCGGAGAGGTGGTATCAGGCTCTCTGCAGGCCACTAGGGAGGTGTCAGCAAATGGAAGGGACAAAAATCCTTGCCTTGGCTAGGCACGGTGGCTCACGCCTGTAATCCTACCACTTTGGGAGGCTGAGGCAGTTGGATCATGTCAGGTCAGGAGTTTGAGACCAGACTGGCTAACATGGTGAAACCCCATCTCTACTAAAAATATAAAAATTAGCCAGGTGTGGTGGCAGCCACCTGTAATCCCAGCTACTCGGGAGGCTGAGGCAGGAGAATAGCTTGAACCTGGGAGGCGGAAGTTGCAGTGAGCTGTGATCGCGCCACTGCACTCCAGTCTGTGCCACAGAGCTGAGATTTCGTCTCAAAAAAAAAAAGAAAGAAAGAAAAGAAAAAAAATCTTCGCCTTTGTGGTGCTTATGTTTCCAAAAAAGAGAATTTACGAAACAATTAAGTCAACCCAATTGTATGTTAGACAATGATCCATGCTATGGAGAAAACCAAACAGAGTGGGGTGAGGAGGTGAACAGGAATGGATGGAATTAGGTGAGGGGGTAGGGGTGCAATTTTAAGTAAGGTGCTCAGTGGAGACCTTGTTGAGAGGTTACCTGAGCAGGTACTTGAAGGCGGTGAGAGGTGAGCCCTATGGGTCTATGGGGCGGAGGCCAGGGGCAGAAGAGGCCAAGGAACAGCTTGTGCAAAGATCCTGGGGTGGGAGCATTGGGAGCACCAGGTTGGCCTGAGAACCAAGGAGGCCAAGAGGGAGGCGATGGGATGAGCCCGGGAGAGGGGCAGAAGCTGACATGGTCAGAGACCATGGTGGCTTTGGGGGCCACTGGAAGGACTTGGGCCTTGACTGTGACTCCGAGGGCAGAAGGGGCCACCAGAAGGTGTTGAGCAGAGGAGGGAGGTGATCCCATGTGGGATTTAACAGGCTCTGTGTTGAGACTAGACTGTAGGGCGGAGGTGGAGCATGGAACCTGTGGCAGCACTTCCGGTGAGAGGCAGGGATTGGCATGGCCCCAGAAAGGCAGTAGGGATGGCGAAGAGAGACCCAGGATGGTTAAGGGCTTTAGGTTCTCAGAATAGATGTCAAATCATACACTGCTGGTCCTTGATGTGTCCCTGCACACGGCTTACCTTCAGGGAGTGAGGCCGTCATTGGTGGGGAGAGGCTGGTGGCTGTGTCTGGCTCCCCTGGCAGTCTCATTTCTCCTGTAAATCAACCTCTTGGCCTTCTGGTTCCCTCGCCAGCCTCTCCTAAATTTCTTTTGTGTGAGTCAGCTTTCCTGAGCAAGATTAGCTCTGAGACACTGATTAGCTCTGTCCTGCAAGCCTGGCCAGACCCAGACAGCTCACTCACCTTGCAAGAACTCTGGGCAGCCACTCTGCTAGCTCCTGCCAGCAGCGCCCCAGCGCCGTCCTGGACTCGTCAGGCTGTAGTGCAGATGCTGCCGTCCTTTTTGTGTCCCAGAAAATAGCTGGGCTGGGAGTTGGGAACAGCAGTGGTAAATCTTCAACAGATGATGACCTTGGGCAGACTGTTAGGTGCTTTATGGATATTAAGTCCTGGCCGGGCACAGTGGCTCACGCCTGCAATCCCAGCACTTTGAGAGGCCGAGGTGGGTGGATCACAAGGTCAGGAGTTCAAGACCAGCCTGGGCAATATGGTGAAACCCCGTCTCTACTAAAAATACAAAAATTAGCCAGGCGTGGTGGTGGAGAAGGAAAGTAGCTTCCCCAGGGTCACCGTCATAGTGAATTGCAGAGCTGAGTCTCAACTCGCTGTCTGTAGTCAAAGCACTTACTTTATTTCTCTTTATACATTGCTCATGGGGGAATGCATATACCTTTTTTTTGTTTGTTTGTTTTTGAGACAGAATCTCACTTCATTGCCCAGGCCACAGTGCAGTGGTGTGATCATGGCACACTGCAGCCTTGATCTCCTTGACTCAAAGGATCCTCTTGTCTCAGTCTCCCAAGTAACTGGGACCACAGGTGTGTTCCACCATGCCCAGCTTTTTTTTTTTTTTTTTTTTTTTTAGCAATGGAATCTCACTGTGTGGCCCAGGCTGGTCTCAAACTCCTGGAGTCAAGCCATCCTCCCACCTTGGCCTCCCAAAGTACTGGGATTATAGGCATGAGTCACTGCGCCTGGCCTAAATGCATATACATTTAACCCAACAGTTTCACCTCTGGGAATCTATCCCACCTGTAATAGCAAACTATAAGAAGCAATTCAAGTGGCCATCAATAGGAGCTGGCTAAATAAATTATGGTGTGTCTGTATAGTGGAGTATTAGTGGCTCTATGAAATGAAAAGGCTGGGCATGGTGGCTTACACCTGTAATCCCAGCACTTTGGGAGGCCAAGACTGGCAGATCACTTTGAGCTTAGGAATTCAAGATCAGTCTGGGCAACATGGTGAAACCCGTCTTTACTAAAAATACAAAAATTAGCTGTGTAAGGTGGTACACGCCTGTAATCCCAACTACTCAGAAGGCTTAGGTGGGGGAATTGCTTGAACCCAGGAGGCAGAGGTTGCAGTGAACTGAGATCAAGCCACTGCACTCCATTCTGGGTGATAAAGTGATACTCTGTCTCAGAAAAACAAACAACAACAACAACAAAAAAAAAAAAAAGAAGGGAAGGAAAGGGCCAGGCATGGTGGCTCACACCTGTAATCCCATAATCCCAGCACTTTGGGAGGCTGAGGCAGGAGGATAACTTGAGTCCAGGAGTTCAAGACCATCCTGGGCAACATAGCAAAACCCCATCTCTACAAAACATTTTAAAAAAATAGCTAAGTGTGGTGGTACAAACCTATAGTCCCAGCTACTCAGGAGGCTGAGGCAGGCAGATTCCTTGAGCCTAAGAAGTTTGAGACTGCAGTGAGCTATGATGCACCCTAGCAGAATTAAGACCGTGTCTCGAAAAGAAGAAAAAAAAAAGAAAAAGAAAGGAGGAAAATGTAGAATACATGGTGGTATTCACTTGTGTCTCCCTAAGGAGACATTAAAAGGATACCCAAGAAACCGATAGAAGTGGTTTCTCTCAGAGGGTGCGCAGGGCAGTGAGGCGGATGGGATGGGTCAGGAGAGAAACTGCACTTGGTACCTTCTGCAGCCTTTTTGAATTTTGAACCATGGGAATGTTTTACCTATTCAAAACCAAACATTCACACAAAGTAGCTGCTTTCAGCACTGCCGCAGGTCCCGTCCTTCCTCTCCACTTCACAGTGGTGTCCCCAGGGTGCTGTTGTTTAAGTCTATTGTGAATAATATTCCTCAGGACTGTTGAGGCAGCCTGCATGGACAGGTCCTCAAAGAGTCTTTGTTAAGGTTTGGGGCTAATGAGTGTATGCTTTGTAAAAAAAAGAGTGAAACCCTGACTTGCTTGGTGGAAATGTGGAGTCCTGAGCTCCATTTTTCTGCACATGGTCATTACTCTGCTCTAAAAGAAGATGCTTGACAGTACAGGGACAGGTGTTTCATGGTTGTTGACATTGTTGACAAGAGGGTCAGAGCATCTTGCTGTGCCAGAGATGCAGACTAGGGCCCCAGCATCCACAGAGACTGGCATGCACAGTGGGAAGACGTGTGCCTGGTTTCTGTTGGGATTTCACTAGAGGCATTGAATATAGAGGTCGGCTTCTGGCTTCAATGCCTGTGTCTCCTCTTTCAGTTTCTCCGCCTGTAGAATGGGGCTATCGTAGACCCTGCCTCCAAGGGTTTCTGGAGAAGATTAAATGAGAGGATTCAGAGGAAGTATAATGTCTTTCCTCTTCTAAGAGTTTGCTGGCAGGATTAGAGTCAATGACTTTGAATAGTGCTTGGCACAAAGTAAGTGCTCAGAAAATGCTAGCTGTTACCACTGTTATTATTTATCTATTTTAGTGTCTTTGATTTATAAGAAAGCAAATCAAGACAGGAAATAAATCTAGGATCAAGCGTTGTTTCTCAGAATAGTTGTCTTCTAGCTCAACAATAGACAAATAGCTTTTTTCAGTAAAAATAATTTTGTAGTTAAAGGGTTCTTAAAATATGAAAGTGAGGCCCAGTACAGTGGCTTGTATCTGTAATCCCAGCACTTTGGGAAGCCAGGGCAGAAGGATTGCTTGAGCCCGGGAGTTCGAGACCAGCCTGAGCAACATGGTGAGACCTCGTCTCTACGAAAAATTTAAGATAGCCAAGCATGGTGGTGCGTGCCTATGGTCCCAGCTACTCAGGAGGCAGAGGTGGGAGGATCCCCAGAGCCCAGGTAGTTGAGGCTGCAGTGAGCTGTGATTGCCCCACTGCACTCCAGCCTGGGTGACAGAGCAAGACTCTGTCTCTAGAAAAAAGTAAAGTAAAAAAGAATGTGGAGATGAATTTAAAAAAAAAAGAAAAAAAAAAAAGAAAGCTAGTTTTAGAGGGATGGCAACTTTTGTGTAGGAAATAAAGGTGTTTTGTGCTGGGTTCATTCTGTGTGCCATGGGAGGTGAGAAGTTATGCAGCTGCGCATAACTGCTGTGTGATGGTCCGAGGTGATATTGCATGCATCCCTAATGCCAGGGTGCTGGGGTCATCCCAGGGGAGGCCTCTCTCTACACGAGGTGTGGCTGTAGGGAATCCATAGCCCCTGATAAGGAAAGCACGTTCTGCCAGGAGGAAAAAAGCAGGTGGCTTTGAGAACTGGGGTTTGTTCTCTAAGGTCTTCCAGGGTCTTCCAAATGGAGCCAGTGGTTTGGAGCAGTGCTTCTCATACTTGGCTGCACATTGAAATCACCTGGGGAGCTTTAAAAACACCCACAAAGTCCCAGCTGCATCCAGACCATTTATATGAGGACTTGTGAGGATGGACACAGACATCCACAGATTTTCAAGAGTCCCAGGTGCTTGGAGTCTGCAGCCCAGTTGGAGAAGCACTGGCTCAGAGGGAAGAGGGAGGTTTGTTCCTGTTTCTGTAGATTCCAGAGGCAAGGCAAGTTTTAGCTCAGAGACCCACTGGTGTCTGCCTAAATCGGTGGTTCTCACACTTCAGCGTGTATAAGGATTTCCCAGCAAGGTTATTCAAAAATCCATATTCCTAGTCCTCATCCTCCAAAATACTTTTTTTTTTTTTTTTGAGACAATGTCTCACTCTGTTGCTCCAGGCTGGAGTACAGCGGCACAATCATAGCTTCTATCTCTGCCTCTCAAGTAGCTGGGACTACATGTGTGCACCACCACGCCTGGCTACAAAAATATTCTTTTCCAGTAGCTATAAGGTGGCCCTAGGAATCTGCATTTTCAACAAGTGCCATTAGAAAATTTTAATGTAGGTGGTCCAAGGCCAGGCGTGGTGACTCACACCTATAATCCCAGCACTTTGGGAGGCCAAGGCACACAGATCACTTGAGCCCAGGAGTTCGAGACCAGCTTGGGCTGGGAACATAGGGAAATCCCATGTCTACAGAAAAACAATTAGTCAAGCATGACAGTGCATGCCTGTGGTCCCAGCTACATAGGAGGCTGAGGTGGGAGGATTGCTTGAGCCCAGGAGGTGGAGGCTGTATGTAGTGTGCTGTGATCACACCACTGCACTGCAGCCTAGTGACAAAATGAGACCCTGTCTGAGTGAATGAATGAATGAATGAATGAATGTAGGTAGGTAGGTATTTAGGCAGGTGGTCCATACTAGGAGAAGCACCTGAGTGGTACCTCTTAGCTTGGCTGGCTTCCTTCACTTAACCCTAACACTGTGTCATCTCTTGATATCATTTGATCCCACGTTCTTTGACCTGAAATGATCTTTGTATTTTCCTGTCTCTTTTTCCATGTATGGACAAGCTGTGTTGTTCTTTATTGCCCTGAATAAAGGCTATGAAAAAAAAAAAAAAACATAGAGGGAAATACTTTCACATTGAAGGTGACTTAGGAGAGCTTAGAAAATGAATAAGAACTGTAATTTTTTACCTCCACATATTGATAACATTTTCCAAAGTAACACTTTTGGTACCAGTTTAGGGGTCCAGGCTGCTCACCTGTTGTGTAGAGTTTTCTCGGAACACAGCCACATGCATCTGTTTGCACATTGTGGCCGCTTTTGTGCTACGATGGCAAAGATGAGTCATCAAGAAAGCGACCTATGACCTGCAAAACCTCTAGTATGTTCATCCATCCAACAAGTATTGAGTACCCTCTGTGTGCCAGGCAGTGAACAAAACAAGCACAGATCTCTGCCTTTGTGGAACTTGAATTCTAGTTGAATCTCAAATTCTGATGCTTCTAGGGACCAGGCAGGTCACATAAAAGTGAAAAGCACACTGATGATGAGAGATGGTAGGGGGTGGTGGAGACTGTGGCAAACTGGTTAGTATATATGCCATTTCAAGGGGCAGCTACTAATTTGCTCTAGCTGTGTTATTCTATAGAGATATGGCCACATTTTTAGCATATTTTATGTGAAGAAGGAGAAAATATGGCATGTGAGTTCTCCCAAGTTGTAGAGTTTATTTTAGTTTTAGTTTTAGTTTTTGAGACCGGTCTTGCTCTCTCACCCAGGCGGGAGGGCAGTGGGTGATCATGGCTCACTGCAGCCTTGAACTCCTGGGCTCAAGCAATCCTCCCACCTCAGCCTCCCGAGTAGCTGAAACTACAGGCATGCGCTGCCATGCCTGGCTAATTTTTAAATTTTTTGTACATTCCCGGTCTCACAGTGTTGCCCAGGCTGCTCTTGAACTCCTGGGCTCAAGCAGTCCTCCTGTGTCGGCTTCCCAAAGTGCTAGGATTACAGGTGTGAGCCACTATGCCCAGCCTCTCCCAGTTTTTACCTGTTGGTAACCAATCCAAAAAATGTTAAAACACTTTGTGGGCTGTTGTGGTGTGGCCACGCATAACTGGTCACAGGCTGGATTCAGCCCACGGGCTGCCCGTTTTCACCTCTGGCCTAGCATGGAATGTGGACCATCGTCTGAGTAGATGGAGATACTTGAGACTCCTTTAGACTCCAAAGAGTAAAACTTTCACTTTCCTGCCTTTCAAAGAAAGTAAAAGTCTACTGGAAGAACTAAAAACAAAACAAAAGAAATGTGGCTTAAAATCTGTCCCACCAGGTGGCAGCATACCATCACAAGTTGAAGCCTGTCTGGGAGATGATCGCTCTGGGTCTCTAATTAACAAACATTTATTTACTGTTTGCTCCTGAAGAGTGTGATACTAACACCATCTGTCCTTTTCCTCCCAGGAAAGCTCGTGTACGAGCGCATCTTTTCCATGTGTGTGGATAACCGCAGTGTCTTACCAGGTAATGTCACAGCTGTTCCTGGAGTGTCATCCTACCCTGGAGTCAGGACTAGAAGGCTTTTATTGAGTCAGGATTCATTGAAGCTTGATAAAGGTTTTAATTTGGGGTGTGTTCAAGTAAAAGAAACACCTTTGAAGATTTCTGATCATCTCAGTCTTCTAAAAACATTAGAAGGTTTCTGAATGGCCTGTGTAGGAACTAAGGCAAGTAATTTGAATCTGCAAGAATGGAAAGGCATCACAGTTAGATTCAGCTGAATTTTCACATCAATATATTTTCCTCTGCTGCTTGACTTTAATATTTTTCCTATGTATCGTTCCCTCCTAAGAAGCAAATTGCTTGGGGAAAAAAAAAAAGCAAAGACGACTTTATGTATATTAAAGAACGATGTCAAATAGATCGATAGTAATTGATGCTTTGAATTCACAATCTATACCTAAATAATTTTGCATTAAATTGACTGTCAATCAAGTTTAAATTCCCTGGAGGTTATAATGGGACAAGTGGATGATGAATTTCTTTTGTCATATAAATGGTAAGAATGATGTGTCTGGCAATGTAGGACTCTCAGCCGCAGCATCCTTTGCCTTTATTCCTCTTTTTAACTTCCGAGCACGCCTATGAGAAAATGTTCTCATCTGTCCAAGCTAGAGTAACCAGCTTGCTCCACTGCTGCTCCACTTCCCTCTGCTCCTGCAGTGGGGCTTCCCAGGAGGTGAATAGAAAGTGTTTGTGACAGTAACCTGTAACCTGACCTTTATTCTTCCTTCCTTCCTCTTTCCTTTATTCCTCCCTCCCCTTCTCCTCCTTCTCTCTCTTCCTCTCCCTCCTCTCCCACCCTCTCCTTTTCTCTCTCCTTCTGTTCCTGTCTGTTCATCAATCAATCAATCTATCTTTATTTATTTTTTTTGAGATGGACTCTTGCTCTGTCACCCAGGCTGGAGTGCAGTGGCGCGATCTCGGCTCGCTGCAGCCTTCGCCTCCCAGATTCAAGCGATTCTTCTGCTTCACCCTCCTGAGTAGCTGGGACTACTGGTGCCTGCCACTATACCTGGCTAATTTTTGCATTTTTAGTAGAGATGGGGTTTTTACCATGTTGGCCAGGCTAGTCTCAAACTCCTGACCTCAAGTGATTCATCTGCCTTGGCCTCCCAAAGTGCTGGGATTATAGGCATGAGCAACTGTGCTTGGCCCTTTCTTATTTTTATTTTTTCTATTTAATATTTTTACTTTTCATCTTTGTAGACACAGGGTCTCCCTATATTGCCCAAGCAGCTCTCAAACTTCTGGGCTCAAGTGATCCTCCCACCTCAGCCTCCCAAAGTGCTGGGATTGTAGGCATGAGCCACTGTGCTTGATCTGTCTTTTTAATACTGTTTAATGTGCACATTTGTCAGAAAGAAAGAGACAGAACTCTACAGGCTTTTAGGTCTCGAAGTGCTTTTAGGACCCATCTTGTTTCATCAGAGATGGGCAGACCCAGTATGGAAGGGTCTTGCCCAGAGCCCTGCCACCAGCTACTGAGAGCCTTGCTCTTCGCGCTGCACCTACGTTGTCCAGTACAGCATCCACTGGCCACGTGTTGCTCTTGAGCACTTGAGGTGTGGCCAGTCCAAATTGAGATGCGACGTAACTATTTAAAAAGACGCTGGATTTCAAAGACTCAGTACAAGTAAAAGATGGTAAAGTAGCTCACTAATAGTGTTTATGTTGACTACATGTTGAAATGGTATTCTGGATGAATCGGGTTAAAGTACATGATTAAAATTAATTTCCCCAGTTTTTCACCTTTTTAATGTGGCTCATGTGGTGTTTCTTTGGGATCCTCCATGCCACTGCATCATACCTGTGATGATGTTTTTCAGCAGCTCCTCCCATGTTCTGGCCATCTCAGGGTTGGAGGCAGTGATCCGGGACAGGCAGGCAGAGGCCAGCCCAAGTGGAAAGGAAAGGCCTTCTCTGCTGGCTTGAGGATTTGGGAAATCTGAATTGTTTGTTTATTTATTTATTTTTGAGATGGAGTTTCGCTCTTGTTGCCCAGGCTGGAGGGCAGTGACGTAATCTCGGCTCACTGCAACCTCCGCCTCCTGGGTTCAAGCGATTCTCCTGCCTCAGCCTCCCAAGTAGCTGGGATTACAGGCGTGCACCACCACACCCAGCTAATTTTTGTATTTTTAGTAGAGATGGGGTTTTATCTTGTTGGCCAGGCTGATCTTGAACTCCTGACCTCAGGTGATCTGCCTGCCTCGGCCTCCCAAAGTGCTGGGATTACAGGCGTGAGCCACCACGCCCGGCCGAATCCATTTATTTAATTCACACTTGCCAGCACGTAGCATGCTATATACCATTGGCAGCAAACTTGAGCCAACAGGTGGGATTGAACCAAAATAGATTTTCTTTTGGCAACAACAGCATTAAAAAAAAATGATTTTTGATACAGGCTCTAGTTCTTCCTATTGTTGTATACCCAACCTCTGAAAAATTGTTGTATTTACCTTCCTGGCCCCCAGGGGCATTTGAGTTTGCCTCTACTGCAGTAATCTTCCTTTCTTCCAGTCTTCAGTGACTATACAGACAACATTTTAGGGCCAATTAAGGAAAAATTACTAATAACTAACTCCCTGCCTAAACTTAAAAGTTCAAAACAACAGATGAGTCCTTGTTTAGATATGTTAATTATAGCACTTTCATCACTAAAATTCTTCCCTCTCCAAATAGCTATTTTTGACCTTGAGCAAAGCAAATCATTTGTTTTTTTTTTCTTTAAATGATATCATTGTTTGTTTTCCTTTTAGCTAAAATCTTCATCTGCTTGTGTTCACTCCAGTTCCAAGAACCTGAAAAGAACAGTAGATTCTGTTTTTTGAAGTTGTTGGTGATCTGAGGAATGACTCTTAAGTATAATTATCATGAAAGCTTTAGAAATCTCCTGTGCAGAATTCTGCCCAAAGAGATTATGTGTGAAGAGAAGTTTAGTGGCATTTGTACTCATTCTTTCCATTTAAATCAAGTTCTGTTGGGTGAATTTCCTACTTGAGCCCTTTGCCTTCGGGAGTTTTAACTAAGGTATAGCTCTTCGGGGTTGAGAAAGATACAGTGTCTTTTGGGTTCATGAAAAGTACACACTACTAGTTGTGGTCATTTTTTTCCCCAACAGTTCTTAATCCAGCATATACATAGAGAGGCCATTGACTCTGAGAAGTCAAATCATTTTCTTTCCAGCTTGGGAGAAATAATTTGGGTTTATTGTATTATAGTTCCCATCATCATCTTCTCAGCACTCCCATCTTCAGTTTTCCCCTGTGGCTGATGTGGGCCACATTGGGATAAGCAATGGCCTTAACTGACCTGGCCTTTCCAGCACATGCCAGCTAAGATGGTGCCAATCCCTATAACACTGTTACGTAAAGAGACCTCTGGGTAGAGACTTGGCAAATAAATGAAAGAACTAGACTCATTGGTCTCCTGCCGCCTCTTAAAATATCCACAGAAGTTCAGGTTTGAAAAAAAGCAGCACCATAAAAGAAAAATAAATGGGAGCTAGAAAGAGAATCTCTGTTCTTTGTTATATTGAAGTATCTTCTGAATTGATTTCCGGATTTTGAAGGAGTCCCCATGTAGCAGCCCATGTGCTAAAGTATAAACCGTGTCGTGTCATGCCATTCCTGTGCTCAGAACCCTTCAGGGGGTTTCCATTATGTTTAAAAAAACTCTCAAACTCCTCACCAAGGCTTTAGCCCTGTGTGAACTGGCTTGTGATGCTGGCTGCACCTCTTTCTGCTCAGCAAATTGGCTTGCTTTTTGTTCTTTGACCATAGTGAGGTTATACCTACCTCAGGGCCTTGCATTTGCTGTTTTCTCTCCCTGGAATGTATTTCTTCCACATCTAGGCATGGCTGGCTCCCTTTCATAATTCAGGGCTCAGCTCAAATACCGCCTCTGTGGGAGCCTTCTCTGACCACTGCATCTAATGAGCCCCTTCCCCTAAATCTCACTCAAGTCACTCTTTATTCCAATACCTAGTTTAGTATCTTTAATAGTGCTGTTAGATATAATCTTATTTGTTTGCCTGCTTATTCTCTTTCCTGTTTGTCATTTGTCTCCCCCCACTGGAATGTAAGTTTTATGAAGATAGGATCCACCTTGTGCACTGTTATCTCCCCAAAGTCTAGAACACCACCTTTAGTTGGCCCTTAAGGCATTTGTGTTGAGCACATGAAGTAAAGGAATATAGTACTTAGTTTACTGTAAGATCTTAAAGTCCTGCATAACAGAATCCTTTTCCTAAATTATTCCTTGAGCTGGAAGGAAAGCCTAAAGAATTCTGTATTGGTGTATACAGATTGTCGTCTAGCTTGCAGTCAATGTGTGTATGCAGGGCAGCCTGCCTTTAGCCTGATTTCCAGCTCTTTCAGGCAACCTGAACCAGTTTGTTTTAGCCTTTGCTGAATCTCAGTTCCTTCAACTAGAGAGTGAGAGATTTTATAGATGACCTCAGAGACCTATTTTTGCTTTTGGATTTTAAGCCACAAGATTCAGTCATATGAAGGGAGATTAACACTGCTCCTCCCGGTCCCCAAAGAGAAGATTGACAAATGAATGTAAGAATAACTGCTATCTTTTCCTGTCTGGATCTCTTGAAAGTAGAAAAAAAAGTTACTTCATGTGTAGAGATCTAGGCCAAAAAGGGGAAAATGGTCATTTCCCATCCTTTTGAAAATGGTAAGCAAATAGTTCTCAAGTGAATGAAGCATGCCAGCCAGCCAAAAATAGACTGAGGAGATTGCAATTTCAAAATATCTGCAGTTGTGATTAGTGACTCTTCTCTGCTAGAGAAGTACCTAGAGATTTATCCTTTTTTTGCTGATTCTATAGGAATTTTGATCACCTTCATATACCACGAAGTGACAGAATCAGGGATGAAAATGACTCATTGCAAAACAGGATGAGAGCCAATAAGCTAAGAATCATTTGCTATATTAAAGTAATTAACTTCTCCCTTTTAATTTATTTATTCATTTTTTAGAGACAAGGTCTTGCTCTATCTTACTCTGTCTCGCTCTGCCCAGGCTGGAGTGCACTGGCTCGAACGTAGCTCACTGCAGCCTCAAACTCCTGGGCTCTATTGATCCTCCCACCTCAACCTTCCAAGTAGCTGGGACTACAGGTGTGAGCCACAGTGCCTGGCCAGCTTCTCCCTTTTTGAATTAATCCTAAAAGTATAAAACATCCAGTGGTGGGATGGAGCTCTAATCTTTACCAAAATCATTTAGAAGAAATCATTTCCATGTGAGAGTTTAACAGTGGCCTTCATGATGTTGATAAGTTTTCTGTTTTTTCTTTCATTTCTCCATATTCTCTTCCATTGCTTACGATGTATGTCAAGTCCAGAACTGTGAGAAATAAATTTCTGCTGTTTAAAAATATGTATGTCAGAATCAAGCTTGGGTTCCAGTTCCAGAAAACTCAAAATAACAGTAATGAAGGTCAGGGCTGATGGGCCAGCTAGCCCTTGGTGCCAACGACCCTCACTTCTATCTTGCTGCTCTCATAGTCAGTATGGCTGCAGAGGTTCCAGCTGTCATGTCTGCATTCCAGTCAGTGAGCAGGAAGAAGGAGTGAGGGAAGGCAAGCCCCTTCTCTTAAAGATACTTCTCAGAAGTTGCCCTTCTATTTATATATCCTGGGACCAGAACTGACCCACACGACACACCTAACTGCAAGGATGGCCCTGTGCCCTGCAGGAATATGTGAGTTCTTTTATTAAAGAGGAGGACAATAGCTAATGGAGTAAACTGGCAGTTTCACAAGGTGACTCGTCTTGGAGCCAGTCATGAGCCAGCAACATAATTCTGGCTGGTTTCTCACCTCAGGGGCCTTGCTTTACCTTCCTCTGGCCCATTGTGATGTGTAGAGCAAAAGCTTAGATCACATTTCATGTTGCAGTCGCAGTTCCCTAAAGCATCTGGAATTCTCAACAATGTTGTCATAGTTACTGGGAGGTAACCAAGAACCTCTGGATTATATTAGAGGCAGTGGCTAAGAATGTCGGCCGCGACTGCCTGGGTTGAATTCCAGCTCTTACGTTTGCTTGCTGTGTGCCTTGGGTGAGTCACTGCATTCCTCTGTGCCTTGGACTCTGCATCTGTAAAATAAGATAATAAAAGTACATACCTCAGAGGGTTGCTCTATGGGATCAGGTGAGCTGTCTGTAAAGCACTGTGAACAACACTTGGCACTTAGAAAGCCTGCGTTTGTGGAAACTATTGTTATCATCAGTTGCTTCCTAATAGTGATATTTGGAAAGAAAGACACAGGCGGAGTCACCCCCTTTTCTGCTCCACGGTAATGTGTTCCCATCTGGGGACTCACACAGATCCTGAGATTTAGGAGGGCTGATGGGTCTTGTTTTTATATTACAGATCACTTTTCTCCAGAGAATGCCAATGACACGGCCAAGGAAACATGCCTAAATTGGTTTTTCAAGATTGCCTCCATCAGGGAACTCATTCCAAGATTGTATCCTTTTTCTTTTTTCTTTTTTTTGTCTGGTGATTTTCAAGATAGGCTAAAAGCGTTGTACTGTTAATAGAAGCCATGTGATGGGATGCCCTGACATTCTTATTGAAAATTTGGTCCCGTTACAGTCGCTAGCCTGAAAATACATACAGGGCAAGCCACATTGTAGAAACCCTTGGACTCTTGCTCTTTCCAGTTTTTTTGTCTTTTACTTGGAACACGATGCCATGTGTCAGGCATTTGTTTCCTTGTGGAACATTCCCACCTTAATTCTCTCCATTAAAATGCTTTACATTTGTATTTTCTCTGATTCCAAGAACTTGAAAGAACAGGGTCAAGCTTGGCAGGGCAAATGCCAATACTGAAGAACAGAATTCGACTTATACATAAATTGCATCTTAGTTATCTAAAGTTGTTCTTTTTTTTGTTTGTTTGAGATGGAGTCTCACTCTGTTGCCCAGGCTGGAGTGAAGTGGCACAATCTCCGCTTACTGCAAGCTCTGCCCCCTGGGTTCACAGCATTCTCCTGCCTCAGCCTCCCGAGTAGCTGGGACTACAGGCGCCCGCCACCACGCCCGGCTAATTTTTTTGTATTTTTAGTAGAGACGGGGTTTCACCATGTTAGTAAGGGTGGTCTCAATCTCCTGACCTCGTGATCCGCCTGCCTCTGCCTCCCAAAGTGCTGGGATTACAGGCGTGAGCCACCGCGCCCGGCCTCTTAAGTTCTTTCTTTCCCAATAAAGCATACAAGTGCTCAAAACCCAGTTTATATTTCAGCATGCAACTATGAGTCAATGTGTTACATTTTCCACAATTTATTTTAGATAAGTATGAAACTTTGAAAACCATATGTAGAAACCATAAGCTACCTTAGTTCGCTGGATTGTTGAGGGCCATCGTGGTCCCTGTGTCCTAAGACCTGCCCACTTCTATTCATGGATAGTTTAGTCTTTTCTCCATAGGGAGTAGACCTTCTGGAAAACATCTTCCTTAACGGGATGTTCTTGTAGTTACGTGGAGGCATCTATCCTGAAATGTAACAAATTCCTCTCCAAAACGTAAGGCTCTTCGGTAAAATCTAGAACCATAAAATTGTTCAAAATCTCCCATGTGTACACAGATAGTAATGGCAATGTAATAGTAGCCATTATTCACTGAGTACTTAATGTGTGTTAAGCACCTCTGTGCATTTTCTCGATGAATCCAAATGAAAACTGAATGAAGTAGAGACACCATCCTAATCCGCATATTAGGGAGAGGAAAACTCAAGCCAGGAGAAGTTGATTGAGGAGGTCATGGAAGATCAGCTCAACTGGATTTGAATCTTGGCTGTACTGGTACTAGCTGTATGGTCTTGAGCAGGTTTTTTACAGCCCCAGAACCGCAGGCTTCCTCTCCTGGGAACATGACCCTAAGAAGAGGTCTGAGGGGGTCCTTCGGGTCATACATGCAACAGTGAGAGTCACACCTGGTACACGGTGGGCCCATCCTCCGTGTTGGCTGCTGCTGTTGATCATGATGAAAATGATGACGTCAGAAGCAGAAGCCTTTGCCCTTAGTGGCTTAGGTCCATGCTACTCAATTTATCACAATGTTTTGAGAGTAATTACAGGACACCGGGGACTCAGATCTGCTTTCTGCAGAGCAGGTGAAATGCTGAGTCATGTTAGATAGCTAGATAATAAATTCTTTGAAGCCCGGGAGTGACTGATTCATGGTGCTCCACAGATAGCTCTTCTGATTGGATTTAGAATTTATCTCCAATGTGTTGGATTTGGATCTAGGGATACCTGGAGTAGTTTGGGGGAATAACATGGGTACTGAAGAAACAGTTATTTTGCCTCACCAGTTGGAGGAGGATAATGCCTTAGGCAGAGGGAAGACATACGTTGCAGGAGAAATAAATAGTAATTCACATTGTTGGTAGTTGGAGGATGTCAGATGCCAGCCTGAGATTCACGGAAGGAACAAGTTACGGGATAGTAAATCTGTGGCAAACAAAAATAGATGTGGAGAGAAGATCAAGGGGTGCCCAGTCGATGGAAAATAATTGGAGACAAAAACTGTTAAAATTAATAAAATAAATGTGACCTCGATTGGGGAAAAAAATGTGGTTAGCCTCCACCACTGAGCAAACGATAACAATGAAATCATTCAATGAACAAATTGTATCAGAAGAGAAAGACTGTTGTTACATTGCCTTAGAAAACTGAAACTTTGACCTTGGTTTGTTACTGAAACTTGATTTTTCCTCCCCGCACCACCCCCCTCACGAATTTAGGAAGTTTTTATTTTATCTTTATTTTAAAAATAAAGGAACAGCGAGTTCTCACGTTGAGTGTAATGCTGGCCTCTTTTTGTCTCTCGCAGGGGAATTTCAGAGTGCCTGCCCCGGTTAACATGCATGATCAGAGGGATCGGAGACCCACTGGTGTCGGTGTACGCCCGTGCCTACCTGTGCCGGGTAGGTCATGCGAGTCACTACCCTTGACAGCACGGCTGCCGCCTGTCTCCTTGAATGTTCACCCAGGGCCCTCCTTCCCCACCAACCCACAAGTCATTGAGAGAAGGACTTTATTAGTGGCTAATTTTAGATCATATCTCTGCCACAGAAAGTAGAACTGTAGGGTTTCTTTTAAAAATTAATTTTAAAGTAGACCAACTTACCATAGCTCTAATTAGGGGATGTTTAAGGTCATCTTCTTACAAATGAACTGGTTTTCAAATTAATTGTTTCTCAGTTCTTGCTGCAAAGGAGGCTCCCAGGGCCCTTTGGCTGACAAGTTGCTTTTCATTGACTTGAAACATGCTCTTCCTTTGTCTTGACTTTGATTGCTTTATTAGTTTTCTGCTTGGCAAGGGAGCAGTGTCCCACATGACGGCAGGCCTCAGGATCTGTGTGGCCTGGCTTAGGTGGCTGCTGTGAAAGCAGGTGGAGGGACTGATTAGAAATTACTTGCCCATGCCCTGCTTTAAAGCACTGTGAGGCGTCAGCTAAGCCATTAAGTTTTTTGTGTCTGGAAAAATGTAACCAATGAGGTTATGTGGTCTTTCTTTTTTTGAGATGGAGTCTCACTGTGTCGCCCAGGCTGGAGTGCAGTGACACCATCTCAGCTCATTGCAGCCTCCACCTCCTGGGTTCAAGTGATTCCCTGTCTCAGCCTCCTGGGTAGCTGAGATTACAGGCGTCTGCCACCACGCCTGGCTAATTTTTGTATTTTTAGTAGAGACAGGGTTTCACCATGTTGGCCAGGCTGGTCTCGAACTCCTGACTTCAAGTGATCTGCCCACGTTGGCCTCCCAAAGGGCTGGGATTACAGGTGTGAGTCACTGCGCCTGGCCGGTGTATGGCCTCTCCATGGTTTTCTTCAGCTCACACAGGGTCTTTGCCTCTGTCGGGACTCCCCTAGCAATGAGAATCTTCCCTGTCGTCCCATCAGTATTGCACATCCTTAGATCGTTGCCCCTGATGAGCCCCAGACTTCCTTGAGGACAAAGTTGCAGTTAGAGCCTCCCCCATGAGTTTGACCTTGTTAAACTAAAAGATGAGAACATGTAGCCTGTGATTTGCTGCTTCTGCGTGACAGCCAGCAAATGTCGGCAGCCCTGTGGTCTCAAGTGTCACGAAAAACTAAGTCAGTGCCTTCAGAGTGAGGAGTAGATATCCATTAGGAAGGGCACTTTTTATAGGACTGTGTCTTGATACTGAGAATGAAAGAAAAAGCCTTTCGTTTAAGGGCACCCTCTTCCCTCTTTGTAGCAGAGGCCAAAGTGTGTATGCGTCGCCCACTGCTTGAGACCTGTGGGGGGGGATTTTCCATCCAGAGATACAGGTGTGTTTCCAATATATTAAAGCTTGAATACTCCTCCCAAGTCAGTGTTTGCTGAGGCCCGACTGTGCACAGAACACAATGCCGCATCCTCTGGGAGAGAGGCAAAAGATACTGTTTGCGTATTTCTTTTTTCTTTTTCTTTTTGAGATGGAGTCTCGCTCTGTTGCCAGGCTGGAGTACAGTGGTGTGATCTCAGCTCACTGCAACCTCTGCCTCCTAGGTTCAAGCAATTCTTTTGCCACAGCCTCCCAAGTAGCTGGGACTCCAGGTGTGCACTACCACGCCCAGCTAATTTTTGTATTTTTAGTAGAGATGGGGTTTCACCATGTTGGCCAGGATGGTCTCAATCTCTTGACCTCATGATCCATCCGCCCCGACCTCTCAAAGTGCTGGGATTGCAGGCATGAGCCACCACACCTGGCCTTTTGTTGTTGTTGTTGTTTTTTGAGCCAGAGTCTCACTCTGTTGCCCAGGCTAGAGTGCAGTGGTGCAATCTCAGGTCAATGCAACGTCTGCCTCCTGGATTCAAGCGATTCTCATGTCTCAGCCTCCCAAGTAGCTGGGATCACAGGCACCTGCCACCATGCCCAGCTAATTTTTGTATTTTTAGTAGAGATGGGGTGTCACCATGTTGGCCAGGCTGGTCTTGAACTCCCCACTTCAGGTGATCTGCCTTCCCCGACCTCCCAAACTGCTGGAATTACAGGTGTGAGCCGCCACGCCCAGCCTTGTTTGTGTAGAACATAGCAAATGCTTTTAACACACGTTGACATCACTTGAATAAGGCCTGATGTCGGAGGCCCGGTAATGAAGACTTAGACTCATGCTGTCTTTTATGCAAATAATTTGGTTATTAAAGAGAAATCAGAAAGTGAGGAAGTATGTATTTTTTGCAAGCCTGTTCCCTTTTAATGTTTGAAGTCAGGTACATGAGCTAGGGTACACAATCATATTTGTTACATATAAAGTGCCTTTGAATGGCAGATGCAACTTGAAACACAGTGACGATGAGGAGAAGATGCAGAGGACAAAGCAGATCCATCCCAGGAAGATTGGTAGTGGAGTGCCTGGCATCTGCTGAAATCATTTTTGTCAGTCCAGGCAATGCGTTGATTCCCCTGGTTGGGTAGTTTCTAAAAGTCTCTTTAACATTAAAAGAGTAAGAGAGACCAAGCACAGTGGCTCATGCCTGTAATCCCAGCACTTTGGGAGGCTGAGGCGGGCAGATCACTTGGGGTCAGGAGTTCAAGACCAGCTTGGCCAACATGGCAAAAACCCGTCTCTACTAAAAAATACAAAAATTAGCCAGGCATGGTGGTACACGCCTGTAGTTCCAGCTACTCGGGTGGCTGAGGCACGAGAATCACTTGAACCCAGGAGGCAGAAGTTGCAGTGAGCCAAGATCGCGCCACTGCACTCCAGCCTGGTTGACAGAGCATGACTGCCTCAAACAAACAAACAAACAAACAAACAAACAAAAGAGCCTGTGTGTTAGTAAGATTTCTTTCAGTTGCAAGTGCCAAAAACCCAGTTCATACTACTTTAAGCAAAAGTAGGAACTTACTGGCCAGTGTCTGGAGAGACCAGGGGTAGTGCAGGGACGGCTGGATGCAGGCCTCAGAGGGTGCCGTCAGGAATCAGCCTCTTCCCGCATCACTCAGCTCTGCTGTCCTCTGAGTTGGCTTCATTCTGTGACTTGCTTTTTTTCTATGATGGCCCATAGTGGCCTCTGGCTTCCATCCTACCACCTTAGGAACCTTTTGGAAAGTGTGTTTTCTCGCCAGTAGATCTAGCCAGAGCCTCAGGGCTGATTCTTGGTGGATTACCTAGGGTTGCTTGTCCACCCCAGTCACGTGGCCATGGGTTGGGGTCTGGGTGCTTACTGACTGGGCCTGGGTCACATGCCCCTGCGTGGAACTCAGGGTGAGGTGGATCCAGCTCCACCACAGACCTCATGGTCTGAGAGGAAGGTTTGATTCCCCAGAGACAAATGTAATTTGCTGATACCAGCAACAGGGGGGATGAATGCTGGGGAGGCCGAAATGGCAGATGGGAATCATGAGCAATACCCTTGCTGCTCTGAGGAGACACGTTTTAGACCCGAGCAGATATCCAAGCTGCTCATTTGGCCCAATGAGAAGAGAAAAACAGAAAACAAAAGCTCTGCGTGGGTAGAGTGTGGGGGGAGCTGGAAGCTGTTTATTAGAGGAAGGTATGATTAACTCCTAACTCACAGCCGCTTCAGCTCATCTCCATGGCTCAGCCACCAGGCCAGTCTTTGCTGTCATCTAACAGATAATTATTGTCTTTTCTACAATATGATTAAGTGGAAGGAGAATCAGAACACTGTAGGACTGGATCTGATGTTTCTTGTTAGTGTATATATATATATATACGTATTTTAATCTACGTGCTTGTCCTTGGAAACAGCACTTCCTGTACCCAATCACAGAGCTGCTCTTGGAATTTAACACCTGATTGGTTCTCAAATGCCATCTGAAAAACATTATTATTGTTACCCATCATGACCTCTGAGTAATGGAACGTGAATGGGAGAGATCTATCCCCATTTGAAGAAACGGAGATCCAGTCTCGCTCTATTGCCCAGGCTGGAGTGCAGTGGCGTGATATTGCTCACTGCAACTGCCACCTCCCGGGTTCAAGCCATCCTCCCACCTCAACCTCTCAAGTAGCTGGGTCTACAGGCGTGCACTGCCACACCCGGCTAATTTTTGTGGTTTTTAGTAGAGACAGGGTTTCACCATGTTGGCCAGGCTGGTCTCAAACTCCTAACCTCAAGTGATTGTCCCACCTGTGCCTTCCAAAGTGCTGGGATTGCAGGTGTGAGCTGCTGCAGCCCAGCCTACGAAGTTGTTTTTGTGATTAAGCAGCAATTTGGAAATGAAGCGTTTCTGAGGAAGTCAGTTTAAGAAACGCTGTGATGTTGTGTTTTAAACCTATGAACTCCCCTCCATAGCTCCTCCCTCTACTTTTCCATCTAACCCCATTACTGTACCTTATCTATGATTAGTAAATGTCTTCAGCTAGAATTGTTACAGTCTGTTTTGTAACAATGAAGTCAGGACCTAAGGGATTATAGCATTGTTACACTTCATGCTCATCTTACATAAAATTGCATAAAATGTATTAAAATTCATGTCTCCTCTTATCACTGCCTTGCAAAGAATGGATTTGTATAGCTTTTAACTAACCATGTAACAGGGGCAGCACCACATCTGAAATCCAAGCTGACTCATGTACCGTAATCTTTGTGTTTTATCTAATAAATACAACTACCTGTGTGTTTATCATCTTTTTAAATTGTATACATAATCTTGAGAGTATATTCCTTTTTAGTTCTGTATTGATTTGTTCTCTTGGTCATCTGTTTAGAAATACATTCAATACCTTTGGGGAAGAGCAAAGATGATTTCTGCAAATGTCGCCCTTTTTTATTAAAAATAGTTTCTGTGGTCTTTCTTATAAAAGCAGTACATGTTTATTGAATAAGAAAACAGATAGGCTGGGCGTGGTGGCTCACGCCTGTAATCCCAGCACTTTGGTAGGCTGAGGCGGGCAGATCATCTGAGGTCAGGAGTTTGAGACCAGCCTGGCCAGCATGGTGAAACCCCATCTCTACTAAAAATACAAAAATTAGCCTAGTGTGGTTACACATGCTTGTACTCCCTGCTACTTGGGAGGCTGAGGCAGGAGAATTGCTTGAACCCGGGAGGTGGAGGTTTCAGTGAGCCAAGATCGTGCCACTGCACTCCATCCTGGGCAACAGAGTGAGACTCCATCTCAAAACAAAACAAAAAACAGATAAGGAAAAAAAAAAAAATTAGGCCGAGCGCTGTGGCTCACACCTGTAACCCCAGTACTTTGGGAGGCCAAGGCGGGCAGATCATGAAGTCAGAAGATCAAAACCATCATGGCCAATATGGTGAAACCCCGTCTCTACTAAAAATACAAAAATCAGCCAGGTGTGGTGACACGTGCCTGTAATTCCAGCTACTCAGGAGGCTGAGGCAGGAGAATCCCTTGAATCAGGGGGTCGGTGGTTGCAGTGAGCCGAAATTGTGCCACTACACTCCAGCCTGGCAACAGAGCAAGACTCCATCTCAAAAAAATAATAATTTTCTGGAATTTTTCTATATCTATAAACATAGGGGTGTGTATGTGTGTGTGTGTATACACGCACACATATATATATTAGTTTCCAAAAATAAAATCATGCTATAGTTGTTTGCAACTAGTTTTTCCATTTGTCTGGCTTCAGGTGGGAATGGAAGTGGCCCCACATCTCAAAGAAACCCTAAATAAGAACTTTTTTGACTTCCTCCTTACGTTCAAACAGGTAAGAGAACACTCTCAGAATAGCTAATCGATATAACAGTTCTATGAAAGCAAATTCACAAAACCCAGTTGGTTTTCCAAGTTGAGAATGCCTTAAAGCTCTTTAAATGTGCAGGCCCTGGAAAATTACACTAGCTTCTGTTGTAGACAATTAAAATGTGTTGATTGTACTGAGTAAGCGGAGAAAGTTAATATGCATGTGTTAACAGGAAACGTCTCCAGTCGATCAGCCTTGCTTCTTAGCATCTGCTGGCTCCATTTTTATCAGGTTCCTGCTTTCCACAGCGCTCGTTCCCAAAACAGCTCAGCTTGGTGACATGAGAAACTTTCTGTGTTTTTTTCTGGTTTAAAAGAAAAAAGCAACTGAGAAACCAGGCTATTTCTCTCAGGGCTGTCCACATGCTTACAAGTATGCACAGTCTGTGAGTTGTGTGTGCTTTGTTTGTTGTTTGATTTTCCCCCTCCTTTTCTAAGTGTTTGTTTGGTCTCCTGTAGATTCATGGGGATACGGTCCAGAACCAGCTGGTGGTCCAAGGAGTGGAGCTCCCATCGTACCTCCCCTTGTACCCGCCTGCCATGGACTGGATCTTCCAGTGCATCTCCTACCATGCCCCCGAGGTAACTGCCAGGTGGCTTCAGTGTGACGCTCACCTCCTGTATGGCGACAGCCCCTGCACGCTGTGCCTTTTAATGTTAATGCGACCCTTTCATACCAGCTATAGCAACGTTAGCGCTAGCCAGCCTTTATAGAGGGCTTGTCATAGTGGCTGGTTCTGTGCTAAGTGCTTTTCTAAGACTGTCTCATTTTAACAACTGTGGGAGGGGAATGTGGTGGCTTGAGAGGCCATATACCTAAGTGAGGCCACACAGCTGGAAAGCAGTTGGTGGCTGGGTGCGGTGGCTCACATCTGTAATCCCAGCACTTTGCAAGGCCAAGGTTGGGAGGATCACTTGATTTTAGGAGTTTGAGACCAGCCTTGGCAACATAGCAAAACTCCAACTCTACAAAAAATTAGCCAGGCATGGTAATATATGCCTATAGTCTCAGCTACTCGGGAGGCTGAGGTGGGAGCACCACCTGAGCCCCAGAGTTCAAGGCTACAGTGAGCTGTGTTTGTATTACTGCACTCCAGCCTGAGTGACAGAGCAAGACACTGTCTCATTAAAAAAGAAAAAAAAGGAAGGTGGTTGGTGACTTGATACAAACCCACAGAACTGGGCTCCAGGTCCAACAAGCCTTGTTGCCTCTTCACTTACCTTCACGTACCCCTTTTGTGTTTATAATAATCCAATAAAGTCTGTAGGGCAGGTATTTTATGGAAGGAAAATAAAGCTCAGATGCTTAATTTCTTTTGTAAGATTATTTTTCTTTCCTTTTTTTCTTTTTTGCCAGTTGAAGTATTGTCAGGAATTGAAGTGACATCAGAATCATAGCAGACATGTATTTTTTTACTTTTCCAAAACTGAGAAGCAGTTTTAGTAGAACAACAATTCAAACTGTCATGAAGACTGTGATAGGCCAGGCACAGTGGCTCATGCCTGTAATCTCAGCACTTTGGGAGGCTGAAGTGGGCAGTTCACTTCAGGCCAGCAGTTCAAGACCAGCCTGGCTAACATGGATATATAGGCGTGTATCACCATGCCTGGCTAATTTTTTGTATTTTTTTGTAGAGATGGAGTTTCGCTATGTTGCCCAGGCTGCTCTTTTGTAGAGACCCTGTCTCTACAAAAAATACAAAAATTAACTGCGCATGGTAGTATGTGCCTGTAGTCCCAGCTACTCAGGAGGCTGAGGCAGAGAATCACTTGAACCTGGGAGGCGGAGGTTGCAGTGAGCCGAGATTGCACCACTGTACTCCAGCCTGGGTGACAGAGCCAGACTGTCTCAAAAAAAAAAAAAAAAAGACTGTGATAGATGAAGCTTCCCTTGTCTTTATTTGATAGTTGCAAAGAAAAGAGAGACTACAAAACAGGGACACATAGAGCAAAGCAAAGTTGAAGGATATCTGCCTTTTCCTAGATGTTGCCAACACATGTTGAAAGCTGTACAGAAAAGAAAAAAAAAGGACATGACTTTAACTGAGCTATCACACTTTTAAGAATTTATCCTGTAAGTTAGATGAGTGCATAAACATTATAAACACACACAGAGATGCACACATGGTTTGTTCACAGTAGTGCAAAATTGGAGGCGAGCATCGGAGAGGACTGGTTATGGTATGTGCATTCGGTGGGATGTTAATGGGGCCATTTAAAATGATGGAGACTCCTGATGATCTGTACATACTGGTGTAAGGGTATTCATGGTATATGGCTAAGTGCAAAAAGAAAGTTACGTTGCTGTGTGTGTCGTAAGTGGCAGTGTGGCCTAGTGTTCAGGCGTGGGCTCTGAAGTCGGGGTGCCTGGGTCTGCATCTCAGTTCCGTTACAGCTGTTGTGATAGAGTAGGGAGCAGGTAACTTATTCCTAATCACTCTGAGTCTTCTTTCTTCATCTGTAAAACGGGAGCAATATTAATGATTCCTATTTTCTAGTCTGTTGCAAGGATCAAAGAAGTCACTGTATCTATGGTGCTTAGTGTAGCGCCCCACGTCTTGGTACTTGCAGACATGATTTTTATATCTGTGCAAGAGAGTTGGGAAGGAGAAGTGACAGAATTATCACTGGAGTGTGAGATTTGGGGCCATCGTAACTTATTTTTCTTTGCCTATCTGTTTTTTTCTTTCTTCCTTTGGGACAGAGTCTTGCTCTGTCTCCCAGTCTGGAATGCACTGGTGCAATCTCGGCTCGCTACAACCTCTGCTTCCCAGGTTCAAGCAATTCTCATGCCTCAGCCTCCTGAGTAGCTGGGACTACAAGCATGCACCACCACACCCAGCTAATTTTTGTATTTTTAGTGAGATGCAGTTTCAGCTTGTTGATCTCGTGCTGATCTCTAACTCCTGGCCTCAAGTGATCCTCCCGCCTCAGCTTCCCAGAGTGCTGGGATCACAGATGCGAGCCCCTGTGCCCGGCCGCCCATCTCTGTTTTCTAACTTTTCAACAAGTTTGCACTGCTTACGTTTTTACGTTTTGAGATTCTAAATTATGAGGAGAAAAACGGACATCCTGTACTTCAGGTGAATAGTCTTACCATTAAGTAAATTGATTTTAAATCAAGCCACTATAAAGGGAAGATTGTTTGAAATTTTGCTGCTGGTTCTCTATGGTCCTCAGCATGGTTTGAGCAACCACATGCTGTCCCCCACTTCTGGGAAGGGTACCACGAACTTGACTGTTTTCTTGGTATTCCACTGAATGACGGAAACATACAAGCAGGATTGACGTGGTGAAATGAGAACGCTTATTTTTTTTTTCTTATTTTAGTGAAAGGCAAAATCAGATTTAAACACAAAAGGTACATGTCACAAGACAGTCTTCTTTTTATTTTAAGCCCCAGTCATCTCAAAGGATGGCAGAAGCTGGGAATAGAGCTTTCCTGGGAGTAAGCTCTAGGAAATCATTATTGCACTAGAATAAGTGATTAAAAAATTAGGTCACCTGAATAATAATAAACTCTGATTCTTGGGCACACTTAAATAAGGGACATGCAGTGTCTTGTTAAAAAAAATATAATCATTTTCAAACTGCAGAAGAATTGATGTCAGTATGGAAGGTGGTGTTAAAGGTGCATGTGACAATTTGGTGCCTAAAAGCTCTTTGATAGTGGCCGCTATGAGTCACCTGCAGAGTAGAGCTGTGCGTATCCATTAGAGGCCAAGACTTCAAAATAGGGGATGGTAAAGTTCGGCTGCAGCAGTTGGTAATATACAGGGCAGACAGGTGAGAGAGGGAAAGGAATAATACCTTTAGTTGTGAATATCTCATCTACAGAATTTCAAATTGAAGTTGAAATCCAAGGTAAAAAATCAAGGCATGTCTTAGTTCGTTTGGGCTGCCATAATAAGGCGCCATAGGATGTTTAAAATAGAATTGCAGCCTTGGCCTGACTTCTTTTCTCTCTTCCTGTACTTTTGAAGTGGGTAAATAATTATAAATAACCTAATCTGGAGATCACCTTAAAAAATCCAACAGTTGGCCAGGCGTGGTGGCTCACACCTGTAATCCCAGCACTTTGGGAGGCCGAGACGGGCAGATCACGAGGTCAGGAGATCGAGACCATCCTGACTAACACAGTGAAACCCCGTCTCTACTAAAAATACAAAAAAATTAGCTGGGCGTTGTGGCAGGCACCTGTAGTCCCAGCTACTTGGGAGGCTGAGGCAGGAGAATGGTGTGAACCCAGGAGGTGGAGCTTGCAGTGAGCCGAGATCGCACCGCTGCACTCCAGCCTGGGTGACAGAGTGAGACTCCGTCTCAAAAAAAAAAAAAAAAAAAAAAAAAAAAAATCCAACGGTTAAATATGGCTGTGGTTCTCAAACTCCATATATATTGGTAAAATGGTCATTGAATTAGACACAAAGACATATTCTTCTTCCCCAAAAAAGTATGCATGTAAAACCTGGTGAAATTGTCTAGTTAGTTGTATTATACTAGTGTCAATTTCCTAGCTTTAATAATGCATTATAGTTATGTAAATGGGAGAAGCTGGGTGGTGGGTACCCAGGACTTCTCTCTACTGTTTTTTTCAATTACTGATGAGTCTGTAGTTAATTCAGAATAAAAAGTCTTTTAAAAATCCTTCAATTGGGATGAATGCTCCATTCTTCATGATACGATTATTATGTATTGCGTGCCTGTATCAAAACATCTCATGTACCCCATAAATATATACACTTACTATGTACCCACAAAAAAAAAAAATTAGGCCGGGCATGGTGGCATATTCCTGTATTGCCAGCACTTTGGGATGCCAAGGTGGGCAGATTGTGAGGTCAGGAGTTTGAGACCAGCCTGGCCAACATGGCGAAACCCCATTTCTACTAAAAATACAAAAATTATCTGAGTGTGGTGGTGTGTGCACCTGTAATCCCAGCTACTTGGGAGGCTGAGGCGAGAGTATTGCTTGAACCCAGGAGGTAGAGTTTGCAATGAGCCAAGATCGCACCACTGCACTCCAGCCTGGGTGAGAGAGCAAGACTCTATCTCAAAAAAGAATAAATAAATAAAAATAAATAATTAAAAATTAAACAGAAAACAAAAACATCTGTCATTTAGGGACAGTTTGAAAAATGATATTATATCCATGGCGTGGATTAAATAGCCATGGATTAAAAGAGTGAGGTAGATTTGTGTAACAACATGGAGAAGAGAGGACCATCTAGATTCTCCATTAAAAAAGGCCATATTTAAATATCTCCAGCCCAGTATTTGTAAGAGTATCCCATTGTGTAAAAACAAAACTAAGCTTCTGTAATAATATATATCCATAAGGCATAAGCAGAGTTCTAAATAAGAACATCAAAGTCCTAGATAAACACCAAAGTGTTGACAGTGGTGATTTCTAGGACGTGGAAGTTGGGAAGAGGGGACACTCACATCTTTCTTGATGCATGTCGATGTTGTTGGAACTTTTGTCTATAAAGCATTTCTTATTTTTACGATTTTTAGGAAAACAATGAAATGTTACATAAATAAGTGCCATGCAGGGCCAACGGCAACAATAACAAAAGCCTAAAACACAAACCAGCACACCAAGCAAATGCCTGCCTTGTGAATCTTCTGAATCTTCAAGTTCTGGTGTGTGTGAAAATGAAAGAAATATGCTGAGCTGCTTTTTCAATTGTTGATCCCAGCCAAAGGGCTTGTTTCGATCCCAGTCTGCTTTGAGCTGTTGTTCATCGTGTTCTTGCCAAAGATAATCAATTCTGTCACTTCTTAGAGGGGAAAAAATCAGTAACCTCCAGCAGACCTGCCCAGGGATCTATAACGTTTGGCTCTCTGGACACTTACATGTATTCCTAAGTTCCTTTATGACAACAGAGCCTTTGGTTTTTTAAAGTTATATTCTTGGATGCATTTTTAGTGCATTCATCTTTTGTGAGAGAGGGAACTTTTTAAGCATTTATCTTGTCTTAATGGTAAGAATCTTATGTTCTTTTGTTACCTTTTAACTAGGGCATTTGCCCTAGTTAATCTTTCCAGAATTGGTGGGCCAGGAGGTCTCATTTATGTGTGTGTGTGTGTGTGTGTGTGCGCGTGTGCGCGCCTGTGTGTGTGCATGTGCATGTATATGAGATAGAGTAAACCTCACGAAGGCATGGGTTTCTGGCTGTTTTCCTCCCATCTTACCCTCAGTGTCTGGAACAATGGTTGCTGTAGTCATCCTTTGGAATACTTGGGGGATTGATTCTGGGATCTCCACGTATATCTTTTTTTTTTTTTTTTTTTTTTTGAGACAGAGTCTTGCTGTGTCGCCCATGCTGGAGTACAATGGCCCGACTCCACTCAGGCAACCTCTGCCTCCTGGGTTCAAGCGATTCTCCTGCCTCAGCCTCCCAAGTAGCTGGGACTACAGCCACACCACCACGCCCAGCTAATTTTTGTATTTTTAGTAGAGACAAGGTCCCATCATCTTGGCCAGGCTGGTCTCTAAATCCTTACCTCACATGATCCACCCGCCTCAGCCTCCCAAAGTGCTGGGATTACAGGTGTGAGCCACTGTGCCCAGCCTCCACGTCTATCAAAATCCACGCATACTCAAGTCTCACAGTCTCACAGTTGACCCTATGGAACCCACGTATACTTGAGTTTGGCATCTCACAAATACTGTGTCTCACAATCAGCATATGGTTGAAAAAAAATCCGTGTATAAGTGGACCCGCACAACTCAAAACCATGTTATTCAAGGGTCAACTGTATACTCAAGTTGCTCGTTAGGTAGGCGTTGAATGATTATTTCTGTGTGTCAGAGAGTATCAATGTGGTGATTACACAGAATCTCTCTTTTCCTTTCTTAGCCTTTTCCGAAGGCCACTTGGCTATTGGTCTTTAAGAATGACTTTTCCAATATAAATACCCAAGAGTGGGTTAGGGAAGCCATTTATGATGTGGTCAGTTGTGTTCACCAGCTAGGATGCTTTTGGCTGTAAGGAACAAACATCGAACGGGTCTGGCCTCCACAGATAATTCCATGTGTCCTCCTCCACAACAAGTGGAGGCTCCTGGGTGGGCAGCTTCAGTCCATCTTTTCGCTTTGCTGATGCTGATTAGCAGCAAGGTGTGGGCAGCCATTCCAAGCATCACGTCCAGAGCTGACAACATCCAGGGAATCTTTGATTCTTGGGTCCTTGTTTAAGAACAGGAAACCTTTCTCCAAATCTCTCAAAGACTTCCCATCCTGTCTCAGCAGCTAGAAATGGGTCATGGGCAAGGGGAACGAGACCTGCTATGATAGATTTGGGTCTGTATTAGTCTGCTCGGGCTCCCATAACAAAATACCACAGACTAGGAGCTTAAACAACAGACTTTATTTCCTCATGGTTCTGAAGGCTAGGAGACCAAGATCAAGGGGGCCAGCAAGGTTGGTTTCTGGCGAGGCCTCTCTCCTTGACTTGGAAACTCCCAGCTTCTTGCTGTGTCCTCACATGGCTTTTCCGTTGTGTACACACATCCTTGCTGTCCCTTCCTACAAGGGCATTAGTCTTGTGGGATTAGGATCCCACCCTTAAGACTCCATTTAACCTAGTACAGTGATATTGGGGGTTAGGACTCCAACAAACAATTTAAGGGAGATATAATTCAGTTCATGACAGAAGCCAACCTAGTTTATGTGAGGCATAGATGGAAATCTGAATAAAGTCAGGGTTCTGGGGGTAGGGATTCCAACAGTATCTCCAACGTCACCTCTCACTTATTCAGGCAACACTTACGACAGAGAGGGGCAACACTTACGACAGAGAGGGGCAGCACTTACGACAGAGAGGGGCAACACTTACAACAGAGAAGGGCAACACTTACGACAGAGAGGAGCACCACCAGAAAGAGTGGAATTGCATTTAAGAACACTTATTTTTTTACTTTGGGTCCAGACTTAGATATAGATCCGTTTTATTTTATTTTGCTTTTTATTTTTTATTTTTTTTACTTTTATTTTATTTTATTTTTGAGACAGGGTCTTGCTCTGTGGCTCGGGCTGGAGTGCAGTGGTGCAATTTTGGCTCACTGCAGCCTCAACCTCCCAGGCTCAAGTGATGCCCCCTCCTCAGCCTCCTGAGAATCTGGGACTATAAGCACACACCACCATGCTTGGTCAATTTTTAAATTTTTTTTTAGAGATGGGGTTTCGCCATGTTGCCCAGGCTGGTCGTGAACTCCTGAGCTCAAGCCATCTGTCCACATCAGCCTCCCAAAGTGCTGGGATTACAGGCATGAGCCATCGTGCCCACCATGTCTTTTTTTTTTTTTTTTTCTTGAGACAAGGTCTCACTTTGGTGCCCAGGCTAGAGTGCAGTGGCACAATCACAGCTCACCGCAGTCTTGACCTCCGGGGCTCAATTGATCCTCCCACTTCAGCCTCCTGAGTAGCTGGGACCACAGGATATACCACCACACCCAGCTAATTTTTAAAAAAATTTTATGGCTTGGCGTGGTGGCTCACTCCTGTAATCTCAGCACTTTGGGAGGCCGAGGCAGGCAGAGTTCAAGACTAGTCTGGCCAACATGGTGAAACCCTGTCTCTACTAAATCACAAAAAGTTAGCCAGGCGTGATGGCACACACCTGTAGTCCCAGCTACTCGGGAGGCTGAGGCAGGAGAATCACTCGAACCCGGGAGGCAGAGGTTGCAGTGAGCCGAGATCGCACCACTGTGCTCCAGCCTGGGTGACAGAGCAAGACTCTGTCTCAAAAAAAAAAAAATTATGTAGAGGTGAGATCTCACTATATTGCCCAGGCTGGTCTTGAATTCCTGGGCTCAAGCGATCCTCCCACCTCAGCCTCTCGAAGTGCTGGGATTACAGGCATGAGCCACCACCCCTGGCCTGCACAAATCCCATTTTACCACTTATTAGGAAGTGGCTTAACCTTTGGCTTTTTCATCTGTAAAATGGGGATAATGTTCCATGGACCTCACAAGGACATAGTGAAGAGTAAGAGAGTAAAGGAAAGTCAAGGACTTAGCCTGAAACCTGGGCAGTGCTCAGTGTCCTGTCATTGCCTCTGGTCTTGGGCTTGACCTTCTCCAAACCACTGCCCTAAATGATCCTTCTTCCATTGATTTTCTTAAAAACAGGAGCTCTTTTAAAGATATGTAATTATCTTAAGATAGCTCCAAAGCCATTAACAGTATTCCAATGAGTTAAAAAAAAATCTACTTCCCTTTGGGGGAAAAAATAGACTTCAAACTGTGTTGGAGAAGAAAAGTATCAAAGAACGTGACCTTTGATCCCAGCCTGCCCAGGTTCATGTCTGGCTGCCATCACTAACTGTGCGACCTTGGGTGAAAAACATTGCTATTTGTGGCTTTGTTTTTCATCTGTGAAATGGGAGAATAGAGCCCCTGCTTCAAGGGTGGTTGGGAGCGGTAAGATCATGAGTGCAAAGTGTTTCTCGCCATGGCTGGTGAACACTAAGCTCTAGCCCGGTGTTTGTTGCTCATATTACTAAGTGCATCCTGCGCATCTCTTGAAATAGGGAAGAATGTGGGGTTACAAAAGAGGTAGGGAGCAGAGTAATTATCATTCTCATTGTGCCCGGTGACCCCGTAGTTGAGATGGTGCCACTTATAGCCTTGCAATAAGGAGACCCAGGTTCGACAGAGTTGCCAACTCTTCCGAAGTCTCGTTGTTGGTAGTTGGTGAGGCTGGATTTGAATCCAAGTGTGCCTGATGCCAGGGTCCCAGCTTCTATTGATTGATCGATTGATTGATTGAGACAGGGTCTCCCTCTGTCCCCCAGGCTGGAGTGCAGTGGCATGATCTCAGCTCATAGCAGCCTCCACTTCCTGGGTTCTAGTGATTCTCCTGCCTCAGCCCCCTGAGTAGCTGGGATTACAGGCACCCGCTACCACACCTGGCTAATTTTTGTATTTTTAGTGGAGACAGGGTTTTACCATGTTGGCCAGACTAGTCTCGAACTCCTGACCTCAAGTGATCCACCCGCCTCGGTCTACCAAAATGCTAGAATTACAAGTGTGAACCACCGTGCCCAGCCCCCAGCTTCTATTTATTACGCTAAATGCCATGAAAGTGAATTTTTTCTCCCCTAGCCTCCCCATCCCTACCAGACACTGAGAATTATCTTAATGGACATGTGGCTACATTCATTTTAGAGTTTGACTTTGGAAATCTCTTAGAAATGTTACTTTAGCTCCTTCAACCTGATTTTTTAATTATTATTATTTTTAACGTAATAGGCTCTGCTGACCGAGATGATGGAAAGGTGTAAGAAACTAGGAAACAAGTAAGTATTTTAAGATTCATAAAGCATGAGTTTGAAAATGGCATTGGCTGCTATTTTTGAGCTTGGCCTGCTTACCTGGGCATAGAGCTGAAGAGAGAGAGGCAGGATCGCATGGAGGTTTAGAATGCTGGAGTCCAGTTGCCTGGCCTCAGACCTTGGCTATGTTCTGTCTTAGCCCTGTGACCTTGGGCCACTTGCCTGACCTCTCTGTGCCTCTGTCTCCTCATCTGTAAAACGGGTATAATAATAGTTCTTTCCAACCGGGCATGGTGGCCTATGCCTGTAATCCCAGCACTTTGGGAGGCTGAAGTGTGTGGATCACCTGAGGTCAGGAGTTCGAGACCAGCCTGGCCAATGTGGCAAAACCCCATCTCTACTAAAAATACAAAAACTAGCCGGGGTTGGTGGCATACACCTGTAGTCGCAGCTACTCGGGAGACTGAGGCAGGAGAATTGCTTGAACCCAGGAGACAGAGGTTTCAGTGAGCCGAGATCATGACACTGCACTCCAGCCTGGCAACAGAGTGAGACTCCGTCTCAAAAAAAAGAGAAAATAATAATAATAATAGTTATTTCCCCATGGGGCTGTGGTAGGTGGTTGGGCTAGGATGAAGTTCATCTCCCTGACTGTCACAAATATGAGGTTGTCTCTCTGCTTTCCTTTTAGTGGTAATATCCTTGCATGGGCTTTGTTCACCACTATGTCCCCAGAGCCTAGTGCCTATAACATAAGATCTCTTTCCTAAGAAATCTCTTGCATAAACTGGCCGGACACGGTGGTGCACGCCTGTAATCCCAGCACTTTGAGAGGCTGAGACGGGTGGATCACCTGAGGTCAGGAGTTCGAGACCAGCCTGGCCAACATGGTGAAACCCTGTCTCTGCTAAAAATACATAAAATTAGTCAAGCATGGTGGCACATTCCTGTAATCTCAGCTACTTGGGAGGCTGAGGCAGGATAATCACTTGAACCGGGAGGTGGAGGTTGCAGTGAGCCAAGATCGTGACACTTTACTCCAGCCTGGGCAACAAAGTGAGACTCCATCTCAAAAAAAAAAAAACTCTTACATAAATGATGTGGATATATATTTACAACATGGATCAATATTGTTACTTAATGTTCTGTCTCATTAGTGCACCAGCTTATTGAATGCTCGCTCTTCTTCTTAAATGAACTGGATCACTTGCTGATCTGTCTATTCATCCTGCCATCTATCCATCCACCCATCTAAACATCCAGTTAATTCAACATTTATTGAGTTTCTAATATGTGCAGGACACTGGGTTAGTCTTTCCAGTTTACCTTTTTACTCTGGTCTTTTTTTTTTTCCTCCAACCCTGCCACTAAAGAGCTGTTAGTCATCCTTCCTGGCAATATATACCCAAAAATTAAAGCAGCTTTGATTGAGGAGAAGCCAGGCTGACTTGGGGATCTGTGTCTTGCAGTGCCTTGCTGTTGAATTCCGTGATGTCTGCCTTCCGGGCTGAGTTCATCGCCACAAGGTCTATGGATTTCATTGGCATGATTAAAGAGTGTGATGAATCTGGTTTCCCCAAGGTAGGCTCTTGACTTCATGCTCAATAGGACACAAATAAGCGGTGTGTATCCGATAGCTCTTGAGAGACAGTCTGGTGTTGGGAACAGCATGGGCCAGCAGGAACACAGGCGAAGGCTCTGTGTCTGAGGAACGCAATGGAAGATGAATTAGAGATTGGGATTGTCAGACCCCATGTGGTTGCTAGGCTTCAGGCCCCCATGAGCCCTAAATCTATCAAATTTGCTCACTACGAAGGATTTAAGAAAGACTTTGGTCTAACGTATTTAAGAATATATCAGGCTGGGCACAGTGGCTCATGTTTATAATCCTAGTATTTGGGAGGCCAGCGCAGGAGGATCATTTGAGGCCAGGAGTTTGAGAACAGCCTGGCAACATAGCAAGACCCCATCTCTACCAAAAATCAAAAATTAGCTGGGTGTGGTGGTGCATTCCTGTAGTCCCAGCTACTTGGGAGGCTAGGGTGGGAGAATCGCTTGGAGCCCAGGAGATTGAGGCTGCAGTGAGCCATGATTATGTCATGAAGCCTGATGGCAGAGTGAGACCCTGTCTCAAAACAAACAAAAGAACATATGTTCATTCATTATTTGTGAAAAACTTTGTTCAGTGGAATATTATGGCCCCAAATTAGACCAACAGATGTAGCTAACTCTGTGTGAGCCTCTCAGTGTAGCTGGGGCAGATATGTTTGATAGAACTTCAGAAGGAGGTTGTTGGAAGATTGGCCCCAAGAAGGATTAAACATTACTACCTTTTCTCTTTTCTTTTCTTCCTTTTCTTTGAGCTTCAAGTTACTTTGATTTAAAATTTCCATAACACGATGGTTTGACTTTTTTCTTAGCATCTCCTTTTTCGATCACTGGGGTTAAACTTGGCCTTGGCTGATCCTCCCGAGAGTGACCGACTTCAGATTCTCAACGAAGCTTGGAAAGTTATCACTAAGCTGAAGAACCCACAGGTGGGTGGCCATTTTGTCTTTTTTTTTTTTTTGAGATGGAGTCTTGCTCTGTTGCCCAGGCTAGAGTACAATGGCGCCATCTTGGCTCACTGCAACCTCTGCCTCCCGGGTTCAAGCAATTCTCCTGCCTCAGCCTCCTGAGTAGCTGGGATTACAGGTGTGTGCCACCACATCCTGCGAATTTTTGTATTTTTAGTAGAGACTGGGTTTCACCATGTTGGTCAGGCTGTCTCAAACATCTACCCATCTCGGCTTCTCAAAGTTCTGGGATTACAAGCATGAGCCACTTTCCCCGGCCTGCCATTTAAACTTTAGATCAACCACTTTTTGTCCAAGTTTTGGCGTCTACTCTTTTAAAAAATTACCCCTCCGGGCCTAACATGGTGACTTACACCTGTAATCTCAGCACTTTGGGATGCTGAGGCAGGAGGATCACTTGAGGCTGGGAGTTTCAGACCAGCCTGGACAACGTAGCAAGACCCCTGTCTCTATTTGAACTAAAAAATGGAAATGATCTTTTCATTAGTTATACATTTTTCCTTAAAGAAATCTATTTATTATAATTGTATTATTTGTTTACCTATAATAGAGAATGGATAGCTTTAAAGATGTAATTTCTTTGAATTTTTAAAAATTCAATCCTCACAGCCTTAAGATGTGCTGAAAGTATAAAATTACATGATCATGCATTCAGAACTGCCATAAAAAATAAAACTTAAAAAAATGCATACCATTACAGATATTTGAAACTTCATAAAAGATCACTTAACTTTATAGAGGGCATCCAAAATGTAACAGTTTGTAAGATTTAGGTTTGAAAATATCGTTAATAGGATATTCCTAAATTAAAGATCAGCCTTTAAGCCAGTAATTAGCAAAAGGAAATTCCCGTTTCCGACCATTGAACAGAGCCACCTGAAGCTTCCTGTTTGCTATAAGGCATACTATGTTGGACTTAACGTTAAGATGCTTTCCTTTTTCTTTGTAGGACTACATTAATTGTGCCGAAGTGTGGGTAGAATACACCTGCAAGCATTTCACGGTATGTGTGACTGTTGTGGTGTTTTTGAAAGAATTAGATTTTTTCGTGTTTATAATAGTGAATTAGCCTAGTTTAGATATTGAGGCATTTGACCATGGTGCTTGCTGTTATAATTTATAAAAATTGCGTTCTTCATGATAAAGCATGAGGGATCATTAATATGTATACTATAACAAAAAATAACTGTTCCATGTTTACATTTAAGTTTGGAAAAGCAGCATTATACAAAGTTAAACCTTTTTTTTTTTTTTTTTAACCATAGGATACCTTACATGTTTATATGCTAAAGTGCCTTGCGACTGTACATCAGAGTCTAGTAAGCAGCATTTCCCAAACAGTTTGACTGGCATGTAATTCTTTTCCTAAGCAAATGTTTCTTTCCCTAGGCATAGACTAGAACCACAGTTAGGGGAATACTAGGCTTCTCAAAGAGCAGAGACTTTAGAAGCAGATAGAAGTGGGTTCAAAACCCTTGCCGGAGTAATTTGTTTATTTTTAATCAAGTCCTAAAAATTTAAGTATAGCATTGCTATGATCTGAATGTCTGTGCCCTCCCAAAATTCATATGTTGAAATCCTAGCCCCCAAGATGATGGTATTAGGAGGTGGAACCTTTGGGAGATTAGGTCATGAGGGCAGAGTCCTTATGAAGGGGATTAATGCCCTTATAATAAAAGAAGCCCACCAGCCTGGCCAACATGGTAAAACCCCGTCTCTACTAAAAATAACAAAAAAAATTAGCCGGGTATGTGACACGTGCCTGTAGTCCTAGCTACCCAGGAGGTTGAGGGAGGAGAATCGCTTCAATGTGGGAGGCAGAAGCTGCAGTGAGCCAAGATTGCACTGCTACACTCCAGCCTGAGTGACAGAGTGAGACTCTGCCTCAAAACCAAAGTAATAATACAAATAAGTCCCGAGGAGCTCACTGTCCCCTTCCACCCCGTGAGGACTTGGGGAGAAGATGCCATTTGTGAGGAATGGGTCCTCACCAGACACCAAATCTACCTCAATCTTGGACTTCCCAGCCTCCAGAACTGTGAGAATTAAATTTCTGTTGTTTCAAGCTTCCCAGTTTATGGTATTTTGGTAGAGAAGCCCAAACAGACTGAGCCAAGCACACATGTAAAAACGTGCACGTATCATAAGTTTGCTGGCTCAATGAATTTTCACAAGGTACGACCATGTAATCACTGTCAAGAATAGCAAATAGGAAATAACGACCCCACAGAACCCCCAGAACTGCCCCTCGCTGTCACACCTCAGCCTTTGGGGAGGTGCAGGTAGACACCATCCTGGCCTCTAACACCAAAATTGATTTTGCCTCGTTTTGAGCATCAGGTAAATGTTGGTCCATTGATTTTTGTGTTTTTTTGGTCCTATTTTTATTTTACATTTTATTATGGAAATTTAAACAGACTCGTTCCCTTGTACCCATCAATGAGAAATTATCAACTTATGACAAATCTTGTGTGATTTATATCATTACCGTGTCCCCCGACCCCTGGAATATTTTGAAGCAATCTCAGACATTGTATCATTTCATCTGTCAATATTTCAGCACATCTGTAAAAATGTAAGGATTCCATTGATTGATTGATTGACAAACAGGATCTCACTCTGTTGCCTGGACTGGAGTGCAGTGGTACGACCGTGACTCACTCCAGCCTCGACCCCCTGGGCTCAGGCAATCCTCCTGCCTCAGCCTCCCGAGTAGCGGGAATCACAGGTACATGCCAGCACACCTGGCTAAATTTTTTTTACTTGTAGAGATGGGGTCTCGCTGTGTTGCCCAGGTTGGAGGGTTCCCTTCCTTAAACCAAATCTAAATACGTTATTCTAAAGAAAAAAGTTGCTTTTTTTTTTTTTTTGAGACAGAGTCTCACTTGTTGCCCAGGCTGGAGTGCTGTGGCACGATTTCAGCTCACTGCAACCACTGGCTCCTGGGTTCAAGCAATTCTCCTGCCTCAGCCTCCTGAGTAGCTAGGACTACAGGTGTACACCACCACACCCAGCTAATTTTATGTATTTTCAATAGAGACGGGGTTTCTCCATGTTGGCCAGGCTGGTCTTGAACTCCTGACCTCAAGCAGTCCACCCTCAGCGTCCCAAAGTGCTGGGAGTACAGGCGTGAGCCACCTCACGCGGCTGAGTTACTAATTATTTAATATCATAAATACCAGTCAATATTCTGATTTCCCCAATTATCTGATTTTAAAAAAAAGTTTATTTGTTGAAATCTGGTTGAAAATAAGGCTTTTACATTGCAATAGGCATTTTAGGATACTTTTGATATGTAAGTTATCTTTCAAACTGTCTCCTTCTCTCCTTCCCCTTTCTTTCCCTGTAATTTATTTGTTGAAGAAATTGGGTCTTTTGCCCTGTAGAGTTTGCAAAGACTGCATTTTTCCCATTGCATCCTTGTGATGGTGTCTGACGTGCTCTTCTGCCTTTTGTAATTCTCATAAATCAGCAGTTAATTGTAGAGACTTAAAAGCCATTCTTAGCTTGTGGGCCTTGTAAAAACAGGCACTGGGCTGGATTGGGCTGCACTTGGCTGACTCCTGCTAAAGGTGGCAAAAGTGAGCAGTGAGCAGTTAGATCAGACGGCTTGCAAGGGTGAGCCTGCACTCTTCCACAGTGCTTCACTGTTCTCTCTGCAGGCACTTGAGGGAGGGCTTGGGACAGGCAGGCAGAAAGAGGCCGATTTGACCACCGCTCGGGGAAAGCAGGGACAATGTAAAGCCCCAGAACCTTTGAGAACAGCGTTTAGTCCTGACTAGGTGTGGGGCTGTGGTACTAGACTAGGTGATATGAGTGGGATTTCCTCCCTTCTGTTATTTTCAGCAGAATATTGAAAGCGATTTCCTGGAAGACGTGTGATGTATTCTGAATACGTTAGTCCTTTCTCCCAGGAACATGGTCAGCGATTGCCATACAGTGTCTAATGCAGGTTTGGTTCCTTTTCCCTGCTTAGAAACGAGAGGTGAATACCGTTTTGGCGGATGTCATCAAGCACATGACTCCAGATCGTGCATTTGAAGATTCCTACCCCCAGGTAACAGATTTGCATTTCTCATTTCAACATTGTTAGGAATTTTGTTCTGTTGAATTAAATAGGCATTCTGCATGGATCATGCTATAAAGGCAGATAATCCTGTGTTTGAATCGTAGGTCTGCCAAATCCTAGCCATGTACCATGTGCCCTGTTTTTTTTGTTTGTTTGTTTGTTTGTTTTGAGATGGAGTCTCACTTTGTCTCCCAGGCTGGAGTCCAGTGGCGCGATCTCAGCTACAAGCTCCGCCTCCTGGGTTCATACCATTCTCCTGCCTCAGCCTCCTGAGTAGCTGGTACTACAGGCACCCACCACCATGCCCAGCTAATTTTTTGTATTTTTAGTAGAGACGGGGTTTCCCCTTGTTAGCCAGGATGGTCTCGATCTCCTGACCTCATGATCTGCCCGCCTCGGCCTCCCAAAGTGCTGGGATTACAGGCGTGAGCCACCGCACGGGGCTGCTGTGTGCCCTTTGATGGGTTACTTAACCTTGTTGTGCCCCAGTTTTCTCACCTGTGAAGTGGGGATAGTAATAGTGCTACCTGAGAGTTACTGCGAGGATGAAGTGAAGCCCTCACACAGTGGCCTGCAGTGCTCAACAAGCGTTGTCATCATTGTTGTCACTAATAAGTAAATTGCAAGTATTTTTAGTTAAATCAACTTTTTTTTCCTTTTTTTTGAGACAGGGTCTTGCTCAGTCACCCAGGCTGGAGTGCAGTGATGTGATCACCGCTTAGCACAGCCTCGACTTCCTGGGCTTAAGCATAACTTCCTTATGTGGAAATAAATTTAAACTTATTGGAAAGTTAAAATAAATAATTTCTATTATTCTTTACCCAGATTCACTAACTGTTAACATTTCTTTTTTTTTTTTTTTTTTTTTGAGACACAGTCTTGCTCTGTTGCCCAGACTGGAGTGCAGTAGTGTGATCTTGGCTCATTGCAACCTCTGCTTCTTGGGTTTAAGTGATTCTCCTGCCTCAGCCTCCCGAGTAGCTGGGACTACAGGGGTGCGCCAGCACGCCTGGTTGATTTTTTTGTAATTTTAGCAGAGATGGGGTTTCACTGTGTTAGCCAGGATGGTCTCGATCTCCTGACTTCGTGATCCGCCTGCCTCAGCTTCCCAAAGTGCTGGGATTACAGGTGTGAGCCACCACGTCTGGCCAGCTGTTAGTATTTCACCACATATGCTTTATCATTCATGTATGTCCACACATATATACATGTATGTGTGTATGTTTTTTTCAGAATTATTTGATAATAAGTTGCATACATTATGTCACATTTTGCTTCTAAAGAGTTCAGTGAGGCCAGGTGTGGTGGTTCATGCCTGTAATCCCAGCACTTTGGGAGGCCAAGGAGGGCAGATCACTTGAGTCCAGGAGTTCAAGACCAGCCTGCGCCATCTCTACAAAAAGTATAAAAATTAGCTGGGCCTGGTGGTGCATGCCTATAGTCCCAGCTACCTAGGATGCTACAGGGGAGGATCACCTGAGCCTTGGATGTGGAAGTTGCAGTGAGCACTCCAGCCTGGGTGAGAGAGAGACATGGTCTCAAAAAAAAAAAAAAAAAAAAACACCCCACTAATGGGGGCATGTGAAAAGGGTATAAGAGCAGCTTGAAGGGGCTCTCACTTGCTCCCAATTTGAGGATCAAATGGAATTAGGACAGTAACGGATTATAGCCCATTGAATAAAATAGGAATCCAAGAGTCCATCCTTATGACAAATAGATAAATAGATGAGCGGATTGAGAAATGTGAAAGAAATGGTAGAATTGGAAAAATCACCATTTTGCAGCCATCACAGTAAAGACAAGAATTGTCTTCCTTTAGGTAAGAATTATCGGTGTCTGTTAAACCTGGGGGGAGAAGAGTTTTGCATGCATTGAGGAGGAGAGAGATTTTGATAGTTCAATGAGGAGCAGGATATTTGCATATCTCAAAAGGTCTTCCTACTGAGCAGGTATCAGTGCAATGGGGAAAATAGTGACTATACAGCACAGACACTGGACAGTCCAGTTAATGAGAGTTCATCTCACCAATGAGGAGCAAAAGGCCATCATGTGCCTGCAGATGTAGTACCCTAAGAAACACACAGCATCACCTGTATAGCATTTCAGTTGAGAATGCATGAGCTGAATTTAATCACAAGGGAATGTCACACGTGCCCAGATTGAGAAGCGTTCTATAATTCTTCAGAAATATCACGGTAGCCAGGCTCCATGGCTCACACCTATAATTCCAGACTTTGAGAGGCCGAGGCAGGAGGATTATTTGAGGCCAGGAGTTTGAGTCCAGTGTGGACAACATAGCAAGACCTTATCTCTACAAAAAATTTAAAAAATAAAGAAAGAAATTAGCCAGATGTGGTGGTGCATGCCTGTAGTTCCAGCTACTTAGGAGGCAGAGCTGGAAGGATAGTTTGAGTCCAGGAGTTGGAGGCTGCAGTGAGCTATGGTAGCACCATTGCACTCCAACCTCAGTGACAGAGTGAGATCCTGTCTCTGATTGAACTAAACTAAAAATAAAATAAATAAATGAAGTAAAATAAAATAAATAAAAAACCCAAAATCCCAGAAATATCATTGCCATAAATGACAAGGACAGACGGAAGAACTTGTGAATTAACACAGACTAAAGAGACGTGAAAATGGAATGCAGTGTGCAATCTCAGACTGGATCCTGCGTAGAAGATGGAAAATAGTAATGTCAGAAAAGACTAATTGAGACAATCAACAGATTGGATTAGATTTCAAATTAGATTAGATTTCATTATATCAGTGTTAACTTTCCCGATTTGATAACAGCAAGTGGAAATGTCAGAGAATATGATTTTTCTTAGGAAATAAAAAAGGAAGTGTTAAGGGGTAAGGGCATGATTCATACAATCTACTTTCATATAGTTCAGGGAAAAAATAGTATGTTTTACATAGAGAGAACCAGAAAGCATATTTGGCAAAATATTAAAAATTGATGGATTTGGGTAAAGAATATGTGGGAGTTCTCAGTACTATTCTTTCAGCTTTTCTGCAAGTCTGAAATTATTTCAAAATAAAAAGTTAAAGGCAGGTGAAGTGGCTCACACTTGTAATCCCATCACTTTGGGAAGCCGAGATGGGCAGATTGCTCGAGCCCAGGAGTTCAAGACCAGCCTGAGCAACATGGTGAAACCCTGTCGCTACTAAAAAAATACAAAAATTAGCTGATGGTGGCAAGCACCAGTGGTCCCAGCTACTCTGGAGGCTGCTGAGGCAGGAGGATTGCTTGAGCCCAGGAGGTCAAGGCTGCAGTGAGCTGAGATCATGCCATACTGCACTCCAGCCTGGGCAACAGAGAAAGACCCTGTCTCAAAAAATAATAATAATAAAACAAAAAGGTTTTAAAAAGTAGATGGGCTGTGTGTTTACAAATTCTATCATTAGATGGATGGATAAGTGAGGAGATAAAGTAAATTAAAATACTAGCTTCTGTAGAGTCTTAAGTGGTAAATAAATGGGTGTTTGTATAATTCTTTCAATATTCTTTATTTTTGAGCATTTTTACAATGAAATATTAAGGGAAAAAAACTCCTATCTTTTAAAATCACAGTTTATATGTAGCTGTGCTTAAGTGTTAACAAAAAATTTCTTGTTCTAAAGGGATTAGGTGCTTTGTGCTTCAGAAACTATTTTAACCAGACAGCATTGCAGTGTCTTACAATGGTATGCCTTGGAGCATTGTTTATGATGAAGTTTTGAAGTCCTTTATTAGTTTTTTGCTTGACTGACCTAGTCAGCTGCCTAATTATGGAATGGGCACATAACGTTCTTCATGTTCTGTTTTTAGAACATGAGAGATTTTCTTTGGAAATTATTGAAACAGCAGTTTTTTTAGTGTAAACAAATTGTCAGTACATTTTCTTGATAGCACCCAGAGGTAGGGAGTTCTATTGTATTTAGAAACAGTATCTCCCTGGCTCTCCTGGACCAAGACCCTGTCAACCTTTCGGTCTGGACTGTGCATCGCAGAGCGAGGGGCGGTAACCATCAGTATCTGGGCATTTTTGAGGCAGACTTCACAGACTGTGCCACCGTCCTTGGGTAATACCTTGGCCTTTAACTCTACCAGCGAACTCTGTCCAAATCCTCTCCAGTGAATAATCAAGAAAAAAAGGCCCTACGATGATGTAGAATAGGAACTGGCCAACTACAGCCCATAGGCTATATGTAACCTGCCACTCGTTTTTGTGAATAAAGTTTTATTGGCACAAATTCATTTAATGCACATTCATTTAATGTTGGCAATGGCTGCTTTTGCACTACAGTAGTGTTGAGTAGTTGTGGTGGAATGTAGGACATTTATAGAAAAAGTTTGCCCACTATTCAAGGAATAACAATAGCTGACATTAATGGAGAACTTTCTAAGGGCGGGCAGTGCAATCAGGACTTTCCACGAACCATTCCATTGAGTCCTTACTGCTTTGATCTCCAATTCACAGATGAGGAAGCTGAGACTGAGACTCAGTTACTTCCCCAGGACTAGAAAGTAGGATGTACAGAGTCATTGAGCAAACTCAGACTCAGACAGAGCCTTCCCTAAGCCCAGTTCACCATTTGTTGAACAATCCAGGCTTACTTTATTGTAGTTATAATTGTAAATTATGAAAAGTGATTGCCTTTAAAAAAAAAAATTCAGGTTTTCATGAGAGAATGTGAACCAGAAATAAATTTTTAAACATTAAGTTTTTAAAAATAAGATTTTTGTTTGTTTTACAGCTTCAGTTAATAATTAAGAAAGTTATTGCCCACTTCCATGACTTCTCAGTTCTTTTCTCAGTGGTAAGTAGCATTTCTTAATTATTTTTGGAGATTTGTACCTGGCTCAGAGGTTCTCATTGTCTCGGTAATGTTTTCATGATGCCCCAGGCCAAAAGAAATATTCAGCAGTTCCTTGTAGTTAGTTAGGTCTGATCAACTTAAGTATTATGTCCTAACAGCTTAAGCAGTATTTGAAAAAATAATGCACAAAAACTGAAAGAAAAATATTATTTCTGTTTCATTCCTTACTTATGGGATATGTGCTCTATTGGGCATTACACAACTTCTCAAACCTTCGAAACACTCTGGACAGCCTTCTCTTTGCTCTTCCACAGTGATTTTCACAGAGCACTTGCTTTTTAATCATATAGCCTAATGTTAAAACTATGAAACACATTGAGCTAGTAGTTGTTTCAGTGTCTGACAGTTGAGATTTACCATGTTTCCCTCAAAAATTTAAAATATCCTGCGATGTCTGTTCAAGTTTGCTCAGTGCCCTGGGCAAGTAGGAATCTAGGTTATCCTCTGTATAGTAACATTCTGTGTCTCTCCCTTCACTTCCCTCTTCCAGGTTCCATTTATGTATGCTCACGGGATTGTAAGAGTTTTTATTTTAATCATAGCAGCTAATATTTATTGGACATATACCACCCTCCAAGCACTGTTCTGGAACTTTACAAGTATTGCCTCACATCAGTTTCACACCACGGCAGGGAAGTAGGAGTTATCACTACAGTACTGCTTTCTTATCCAGGAGGAATACGTTCGAAGACCGCCCAGGAGGTGCCCGAAATCGCAGATAGTGCTGAATCCTGTGTATACTATGTTTTATCCTATAAATACATACCTACGATAAAGTTTCGTTTATGAATTAGGCACACTAAGAGATTGACAACAATAGCTAAAATAGAACAATTATAACGATATGCCAGCATCGCTACTCTTGCACTTTGGGAGCATTATTAAGTAAAATAACTGTTCTTTGAACACAAAAATGCTGTGATACCATGACAGTCAATCCAATGACCAAGTCAGCTACTAAGTGACTAACAAGCGGGTAGCGTCTACAATGTGGAGACACTAGACAAAGGGATGACTCACAGCCTGGGCGGGACAGAACAGTATAATGTGAGATTTCATTACACTACTCTGAGCAACGCTCAATTTCAAATGAATGAGGCTGGGCGTGGTGGCTCAGCGCTTTCAGAGGCCGAGGCAGGCAGATCACCTGAGATCAGGAGTTCCAGACCAGCCTGGCCAACATGGTGAAACCCTGTCTCTACTAAAAATACAAAAAATTAGCCAGGTGTGGTGGTGCATGCCTGTAGTCCCAGCTACTGGGGAGGCTGAGGTTGCAGTGAACCGAGATTGTACTAGTGCACTCGAGCCTAGGCAACAGAGCGAGACTCTGTCTCAAACAAATAAAATACTATAAAAATAAAAATGAATGAATTATTTCTAGAATTTTCTATTTAATATTTTCGGATGGCCGTTAACTGAGAGTAACTGAAACTCTGGAAAGCAAAACCGCAGATAAGGGAGCAACTACCATACTCCCACTTTACAAATGAGAAAACTGATGCAGGAAGAAGTAGAGCAACTTGTTTACAGTTACACAGTCACCGAGGTTAGGATTCAGAGCCAGGCAGTCCAATTTCGAGGCCACCTCTGAACAGCTGTACTCTGACTCTTCTTCCATTGCTCATCAATATAATCATAAAAAGACTGAAGTCTGCCTTGCCCGGAGAAGCTTACGGTCATCAAAGGTTGCCAGGATGGCTCGCCAAAATGTTAACTGGTCCCAGCACCAATCCCTGGAATGCATATAAGTTGTTTTAACAGTAACAGCTTTTTATTTTGTTTGTTTGTTTGTTTGCTTGTTTATTTATTTTTGAGACAGAGTCTTGCTCTGTCGCCTAGGCTGGAGTGCAGCAGAGCGATCTCGGCTCACTGCAACCTCCGCCTTCCTGAGTTTAAGCAATTCTCCTGCCTCAGCCTTCCAAGTAGCTGGGACTACAGACATGCACCGGTACACCTGTCTAATTTTTGTATTTTTAGTAGAGACAGGGTTTCGCCATGTTGGCCAGGCTGGTCTTGAACTCCTGGCCTCAAGTGATCCACCCACCTCGGCCTCCCAAAGTGCTGGGATTACAGACATAAGCCACTGTGCCTGGCTCAGTAACAGCTTTTTACAAGCCCAGTCAGGTCCTCTCCCTGATTTCAGAGGAGTCCTCATCTGACCTGACTCAGAGAGATGAACCTCTGTTCTGCTTTTTTGACCTCCACATTAAAAGAGACCCACAGATTCCTTCCTTCCAGTAACTTGTGTCATTTGCATATAGAATGCTTGCTTTATTTATAGGAAAAATTTCTGCCGTTTCTGGACATGTTCCAAAAAGAGAGTGTGCGGGTGGAGGTTTGCAAGTGCATCATGGACGCCTTTATCAAGTGAGTGCCACGGCGTGCAGCGGAAGCCTTGATTCCCAGTGCCCTTGTGAAACCTGTTGCTAAAAAATCAGTTCTTGCACTCTGAGGCCAAGTGATGTGTACGTATTTCATACAGAAAACCACACTGGAAGGAAAGCCACATTAAAGGCAGCAGTCATGATAAAAGTTTGTAATTCGTGTTTAAGAAGACAGACTAGCAAGTGTTATCATGAGCCCTGCCAGCAGCTCCATTTTACTTTGATATGTTTTTAGAAGGAGGAGTCTTTTGATAAATTCCCTCAAGAGTCACATTTTTAAGGATACAAATCAGGGCGTACATACTTATGAAGAAGGCACCGGTGCTAGAAAGGTTTTCATCTTCAGTGTTTAGTTATGTAGCTGACTAATTTGTGATCAGTTTTCAAATTTAGCTCTTTAACAAAAAAGAAAAAAAATCAAATTTAGTTCTTTTCATTTTTTGGATTAAATCTGTGTTTCCCGAAACTGTCCAACTGCTAGTGGTACATGAAATAATTTTAAGGTGGTGCATGGAAAAAAGGTGTTTTTGTTTTTGTTTTGAGACAAGGTCTCACTCTGTCATCCAGGCTGGAGTGCAGTGGCACAATTATAGTTCACTGCAGCCTCGAGCTTCTCACGCTCAGGTGATCCTCCTGCCTCAGCCTTCCAGGTAGCTGGGGCTACAGGTGTGTGCCACCACAACCCAGCTGATTTTTGTATTATTTGTAGAGACAGGGTCTCTCTATGTTGCCCAAGCTGGTTTTCATCTCCTGGGCTCAAGCCATCCACCCACCTTAGCCTCCCAAAGTGCTGGGATTATAGGTGTGAGCCACCTTGCCTAGCTAGGGTTTTATTTTTATTTCATTATTTTTAAAATTTATTTTGAGGCAGGGCCCTACTCTGTCACCCAGGCTGGAGTGCAGTGGCACGATCTTGGCTGACTGCAACCTTCACCTCCTGGGTTCAAGCAATTCTCCTGCCTCAGCCTCCCAAGTAGCTGGGATTACAGGCACCCACCTCCATGCCTGGCTAATTTTTTTGTATTTTTAGTAGAGACAGGGTTTCGCCATGGTGGCCAGGCTGGTCTCGAACTCCTGACCTCAGGTGATCTGCCCACCTCGGCCTCCCAAAGTGCTAGGATTATAGGCATGAGCCAGCGCACCTGGCCTGTTTTTATTTTTAAAGTTACATATTTATTTTAAATGTATTAGGCAGTGTATAGTTTAATGTGATTTCATGTACAATATATTATTTTTTAGGACAAGGTTAAGTTAAAAAAGGCTACAGTTACTTTAAATATTAAGTATCTATAGATATGGTTCAGTTTGGAAAATTGAGTTTGATATTGCTCAAATGTTTTAAGCTTTTCTTGTCATCTTTCTAAAAGATTAATTCCTTCCTAAGGATTGAAATTAATTCCTAATTAATTTGCTTGGAATAAATATACCTAATTTACTTACCTAAATATTTGTTATAAGTTTGCCCTTTTATATTTTTGAAAAACCAAATGAATAATTTTGCCTGGCAAAATTTGCCTGTTAAAAACACAGTGACAGACAGGTTGTGGGGAGCTTCAGAAGGTATGAGAAGCATAGTAAAAACAAACAAACAAACAAAAAACAGGTTTGCCCTTAGCCCACCTGGTTTAGGAAAGGGAAGAGTTTTTCTGTGATTTTGCAGTTAGGAGAAGTTATCATGTGTGTAGAAGAGCAAACTTGTTATTTAAAGAATTCTGGGCCAGATGTGGTGGCTCATGCCTGTAATCCTAACACTTTGGGAGACTGAGGCAGGCCGATCACTTGAGGCCAGGAGTTCAAGAGCAGCCTGGCCAACATGGTGAAACCCTGTGTCTACCAAAAATACAAAAATTAGCCAGGTGTGGTGGCACACGCCTGTAGTCCCAGCTACTTGGGAGGCTGAGGCAGGAGGATCACTTGAACCCAGGAGGCAGAGGCTGCAGTGAGCTGAGGTCACACCACTGCACTCCAGCCTGGATGACAGAGTGAGACTCCATCTCAAAAATTAAAAAAAGAATTCTGAGACAACCAGAACACGGCTCATTACTGGTAAACTGGGCTGGGTGAAATGCCAGCTGGATAATTTGCTGCTTTTCAAATGTGTACAGTGGATGAAAACTGAATCCACTCTTACAGTGCTGTCAGTGGACAAAACTTTGACTTTTACCTTTAAATGTCTCCTAGGCATCAACAAGAGCCCACCAAGGACCCGGTCATTTTGAATGCCCTTTTGCACGTTTGCAAGACCATGCATGACTCCGTGAAGTAAGCCATGCTTGCGGCTGAAATATAACATGAATTGGGTCTTAATGCCACCTAATAGAACATTAGGGAATGATTCTTTAAGCTGCCACTGTGAATAATATTACTTTATTGGGGGTATTCAAATTCTTGCTAATGAAGACATTCCAGTCTAGGAGAGGAAGGAGGCTGAGGGTAACCTTCTTGAGAAAGCGACGTGGCAGATGTTGTTAGAAAGGAATTTATGTTGTGGGTAAAAAGCTGGTTTCATTCAAGTGAACTCAAACTCCGTGTCTCTTGGAGATTTCTGAGAGCAGCAGATAGTATAATAATGAGCTCACTCATCCAGTAACGTAGCCTTTTTATTTCATCTCTTTATTAGCCAATTATTTGAAATTCAAATGAAACTGCTCACATTTCTTAAATGAAGGACTCTATTTCCTCGGTATACTTGAGGCTGAGGCCTATCCACAGGCGTTACCTTTCAGTCAAAGGCTGAATAGTCACTGCTTTGCTTTCTGGTTTTTGTTTGTTTATTTTTAAAATATGTTTTCATTTGACTATGCTTAGGGCAATTCCTGCTTGTTTGTGGCTGAAATTTTAGTCCCCAAAGAATTTTTAAACACAGCAGCTTGATTTACTGGAAAATGTTACAAGAATGGAGAAAATTGTTTTGGAACTTAACCATCAACAAGACGAATTGTATTTCTTCTTTGTTTTCTCTGCGTTTTAGAATCTTCTATGATTTTTTGTGCTTTCAAATTCATGGGTAGTTATGAAAATCAAAGTGTCGAGGCATTTCATAAAAATGGAGCCGGTAGACTTTAGTTGGACAAAAATAGAAATAAAGACACAAAAGGCATCCAGACAGGCACTTAGATTCGTGAGATATCGGGTTTTGGCTTAAGTAAAATAGAAGGTTGATTTCTGTCTTGTTAAAATTGTGCATAGTAGACAGACCAGAAGGTAGGGGTAGGGCAGCTCTTCTTTCAAACATCATCCAGGGACTCAGGTTATTTCTGTCTTATTGTTCTCCCAATCTATCTGGGGTGTTGTCCTTGTCTTCTTCCTGGAAGCTGACGTACCTAAACCATGTCCACGTTCTGGCCTGTGGGCAATGGGGAACAGCAGCTTTCTTTTGGGGACAAAGCTGGGAAGGCTCACACGTCACTTGTGTTCACATCGCATTGTTCAGAAGTGTCCCATAGCCACCCCTAACTGGGAAGGAGGCTAGGGAATGTTGTTCTAAGAACAAAGTGGGGCTGGGTGTGGTGTCTTATACCTGTAATCCCAGCACTTTAAGAGACCAAGATGAGTGGATCACCTGAGGTCAGGAGTTTGAGATCAGCCTGGCCAACATGGTGAAACCCCATCTCTACTAAATAATAATAATAATAATACAAAAAATTAGCCAGGCTTAGTGGCACATGCCTGTAATCCCAGCTACTTGGGAGGCTGAGGCAGGAGAATCACTTGAACCTGGGAGGCACAGGTTGCCATGATCCAAGATCACGACATTGCACTCTAGCCTGGGCCACAAGAGCGAAACTCCATCTCAAAACAAAAACAAAAAAAGAACAAAGTGGACGTTTGTATTGAAGGACAATGGGCAATCTTTGCCAAAACGTTTTCTCCAAGAACAAACCGACAAGCAAAAACCTTGACTCCTGTTTTCTCTACGCTCTTAAAATTTTTAAAAAATAAATTTGGGGAACTATTGGTAGGCCTTCACAAGTATAATCAAAACTATAACGATTTGACTTTTTCTTCCTTATATTCGTGTTAAATTTTCTATTAAATAGAAGCAACTGAGACCTGAGATTTACTTTACAATGTATCAAAAAAATAAGACGGATTGATGGATGGAGAGGGGAGTGGATAATTATGTGTAAAATAAAACGGTGATGGCAGGATTTCGGTGGTGGGTGGTATGCGTATTTACTGGAAAATTCTTTCAACTTTGCTGTACATTGGAAATATTTCTGTTTCCTTTTTGGGGAGAATGGGGTCTCGTCATGTTGCCCAGGCTGGTCTCCAACTCTCCAACTCCTAGGCTCAAACGAACCTGCTACCTCTGCCTTCCTAAGTGCTGGGATTACAGGTGTGAACCAGCACACCCTGCTGGTGGAAATTCAACATAAATTCCATTTATTTTTTAAATAAAACGTTCAGTGAAATTTCCCTGAAGTACAGAATTTGACATTAGACCTTGCTGCCCAAGTTCCAAATAAGTGAAAGTTACCTTTTCTTTTCTTGTTAATAAATATATCTTGAGAACAGCATCTTTGAGGGAGATGAGAAACATATTTAAATTATGTTAATTGTGATTATGTATTTTTATCAAAGGAAAAATAAACGGAGTTTTTTATATCTAGAAAATGCAAAATGTTCTTACCCGTTAAATTACTTACCCCTTGTGTATTTTTTTCTTTAGAAACTTTCATCTGTTACCTCCGTGTTAATTATGTACAATTATTGATTTTAGTGCACTCACTCTTGAGGATGAAAAAAGGATGCTGTCATATTTGATTAATGGATTTATAAAAATGGTAAGTCTTAGGGAAGAAGTTTCAGTGCACTTGGAAGTGTGATGTAATTGTTTATCCTTATTCTGGCGAAAGCAGTTAACATTATGTTCTCTGGTGCTTTTCATTCTTAGTGAGATAAGATGAAATTAGAAAACATCTTACATTAGCCAGGACTCCCCTGGGGGCAAAGAGAGCCAAGACAAACTGGCTTAGGAGGAAAAAGGTGGGGGGGGCGTGGTGGGTGATGGGAGGAGGGATTTCTTGGCTCATGGGACAAAAAGTCCAGTGGGCTGGAACTCTCCAAAGCAGCAGCCGGGCTCAGGGTCTCCCGGATGTCATCAGGACCTGCCTTCCCTGTCTGTCTTTAGCCCCGGACTCTGCCCCGTTGGCCCCCGGCTCAGCTGGGCTTGCTCCACCACAGTTCCAGGTTTCCAGTCCCCCAGCTCTGCAGCCCGGCAGGCGGGGCTCCAACGAAGTCCTGGGATTGAGTCTCTTTGGATTAACACGGGTCGTGGCCCCAGGCATACCTGGGTGACCTGAGTCAAGAGGGCCGAGAGTGGAAAGAAGGTGTGCCCTGAAGCAGCTGATGCAAATCATCCGATGGCGATGGAAACTATGCCGGGCAGGCAAAACGCCAGATAGCCACTCCCCATCTGTTTTACTTATCTACTGCTGAGTAACAGCTCATCCCAAAACTTGGTGGTTTTAAATAACAGGGCTTTTTTTTTTTTTTTGGGGGGGGGTGGGTTCGAGACGAGGGTCTTGGTATGTTGCCCAGGCTGGTTTCCAACTCCTGGCTTCAAACAATCCTCCAGCCTCGGCCTCCTAAAGTGCGGGGATTATAGGCCTGAGCCACTGCACCCAGCATCAGTTTTTTATTTTTTCTTAAACCGTGGATCAGCTCGGTAACCAGGCTGCTGCAGGCAGTGTGGTGTGGCACTGGTGTGGCACGATTCGGCTGGAGGAGCCACAGTGGCCATGTTCCCTTCTCCAGGGCTTTGGTGCTGGATATGGGCTGCGGCCATCTTGGTTTTCTTCCATGTCCTCTCTTTCTCTCCACTGTTCTCAGTCAGTGGTTTCAACTGAGCTTTCTTGCTTGGTGTTGCCTTCTATGAAGGCACAGACAGAAGCAGCAAGGCATTTTAAGGCCAAGTCTTAGAAATCACACAGTGAGGACGGGCGCGGTGGCTCATTCCTGTAATCCCAGCACTTTGGGAGACTGAGGCAGGTGGATCACCTGTGGTCAGGAGGTCAAGACCAGCCTGACCAACATGGTGAGACCCTGTCTCTGCTAAAAATACAAAATTAGCCGGGTGTGGTGGTACATGCCTGTAATCCCAGCTACTCGGGAGACTGAGGCAGGAGAATCGCTTGAACCCGGGAGGCAGAGGTTGCGGCAAGCCAAGACCATGCCACTGCACACTCCAGCCTGGGCAACAAGAGCAAAATTCCGTCTCGGAAATAAAAAAAAAAAAAAAAAAGAAATCGCACAGTAAACCCTGGCCACATTCTACTGCAATCTGTGGGTCCAAGCAAGTCACAGGGCCAGTCTGGACGGGAAGAGCCTCTGCGTTTTGATGCGGGTGGTCCACAGAGACATTGCAGAAGGGCAAGCAGAGGTGGAGGGGTTCCTGCAGCCTCCTTTGGGAACATCCCACCATTATACTATCCCAGCCTGAACAGTCTTCGCCTTCATTCTGGGTGCCAAAACACCAACTGCTGCCAATATCTTCTATTTTAGTAGAAAAGTCAGGACCAAAGCTGACAGAGACGAAAATGACGAGATCACTTTGAAAATAACCTTGAAATTCTGACTTGTTCAATAATGCGGGTTGATTGGTCCACCTGACTCTGTGGGTGAAATATCAATTTTGATGAAAATTCAGGATTAGCCTTTCAATTCCTGTGTTAGAAAACCGACCTATGGATTTTCCCAGGTCACTCTCCGTTGTCCTTGCTTTTTGTACTCATCATGTGGTATTTATCTTTTTACGGCATTGTCTGAAAGTTGCCGAGTTATTATGGAAAAGAATATAAGGAAATCAGATATGAAACATGATAGCTGTAATGGAAATGATGATATTAAACCTCATCTGGACAAAAATGATTGATGTACAGTAAAGTTTTTCTTACTAACCAGCTGTTCATAAATTTGAAGAAATAGGAGACGAGGTGATGGTTTAATGGTGGAGAAACTTCCATCTATGGCTTCTGTAGCCACCAGTGAGCTGCCGAGGTTGGCTCTTCATCAGGAAGCAGAAAGGTGTGACCGTTATGATGGCAAACCTTCTGACAAATGGCCCCCAATAACCACATTTATGTTCTGTGAAAAGGCCACAGCTGACAAACAATATCCCATTATTCCCTTTCCAGTGGTTTCCTTCGGAGCCTGGGAAATTCTATTTACACTCTGAGCTTCTGCTTTATACCCCCTGACTTCTTCTGTTCTAGTCCAGTGCCCATGTCATAAAGATGAGGTGGCAATAATAATATTTCAGTCATACCATGTGCTTGTGTTCCCTCTAAAAATACCACTGTCCCCTTCAGCATCTTTCTCCTTGATTCTAGGTTTCCTTTGGCCGTGATTTTGAACAACAGCTGAGTTTTTATGTTGAGTCCAGGTCAATGTTTTGCAATCTGGAGCCTGTTCTTGTGCAGCTGATTCATGTAAGTATCTTCATTCATTACTTTCTTCTCTCAATACATATTTATTGATCATCTACATCCCAATCATTTATTTTTATTTTATTTTATTAGAGACAGAGTCTCACTCTGTCACCCAGGCTAGAGTGCAGTGGCACAATCATAGCTCACTGTAGCCTTGAACTCCTGGGCTCAAGCAATCCTCCTGTCTCAGCCTCCTAAGTAGCTGGGACTACCAGCTCAAGCCACCATGCCCGGCTATTTTAAATATTGGTTTTTTTGTTTTTTGTTTTTCTGTTTTTTGAGAGATGAGGTCTCACTGTGTTGCCCAGGCTGGTCTCAAATTCCTCACATCCAGCAATCCTCCTGCCTTGGCCTCCCAAAATGCTGGGATTATAGGCATGAACCACTGTACCCAGCCTTAATATGGGATTCTTCTGGTCCTGTTTTGTTACTGTTCTCTATGGTGTGAAAGGTGCTTTCTCAAAGGTTAATAAACTTACAACTTTGGTTTTATTGATCTGTTTTTCTGTGAGATTTGCATTTTCTCATTTCTGCATGCCAGCAACAGAGTTAAGTGATTTACAGAAATCTAACCAGAAGGAGCCCTTTCTTACCTAACAAGAGGTTCCCAACTTTCTTGGATCGTGGCATCTCTCAGTAACTTTTTATGGTGCTCTCAGACCAAAAGAATTAATAACAGCCCTGTTTATTAAGAAGTTAGGTTTAGGCTGGATGTGATGGCTCACACCTGTAATCCTAGCACTTTGGGAGTCTGAGACTGGCAGATCACTTGAGGTCAGGAGTTTGAGACCAGCCTGGCCAATATGGTGAAACCCTGTCTCTACTAAAAATACCAAAATTAGCCAGGCATGGTGGCAGGCACCTGTTGTCCCAGCTACTTGGGAGGCTGGGGCAGAAGAATCACTTGAATCTGGGAGGTGGAGGTTGCAGTGAGCAGAGATCGTGATACTGCACTCTATACTCTAGCCTAGGCAACAAAGAGAGACTTCATCTCAAAAAAAAAAAAAAAAAGAAGTTAGGTTCAGACAACTTAAGTATTTATGCTCTTACAACTTGATAGCCATTTGAAGAAAATATATATATAAATTGAAAGAAAAATAATACCTTTTTTTCTTTTCTTTTTTGAGACGGAGTTTTTGCTCTGTTGCCCAGGCTAGAGTGCAATGGCACGATTTTGGCTCATTGCAACCTCCACGTCCTGGGTTCAAGTGATTCTCTTGCCTCAGCCTCCCGAGTAGCTGTAATTACAGGTGCCTGCCACCATGGCCGGCTAATTTTTTGTATTTTTTAGTAGAGATGAGATTTCACCATCTTGGCCAGGCTGGTCTTGAACTCCTGACCTAAGGTAATCCACCTGCTTCGGCGTCCCAAAGTCCTAGGATTAGGACATGAACCACCAAGCCTGGCCTATTTTTTTCTTAGCCATAATTAGTAATGATGGGTGTGTACTTATGAGGCATATCACAGCTTTATAAAATTTGGAATTAGATTGGTGATGCTATTCTTATTTCTTGTTTTACATTCACTTTTTTTACATTTATTTTTGCATAGCAATTAAACTTGCTTTTGATCACAGTAGCCACAAAAAACAAGTTTTACGAATATATGATGTGGCTATAAGGGATATAAAGCAATCCATCATCAAATCAGCCTTGCACCAGTGCTTTGCAAAGTGGCAACAAACAGGCTGGGCGTGGTGGCTCAAGCCTGTAATCCCAGCACTTTGGGAGGCCGAGACGGGCGGATCACAAGGTCAGGAGATCGAGACCATCCTGTCTAACCTGGTGAAACCCTGTCTCTACTAAAAAATACAAAAAATTAGCCGGGCGAGGTGGCGGGCGCCTGTAGTCCCAGCTACTCGGGAGGTTGAGGCAGGAGAATGGTGTGAACCCGAAAGGCGGAGCTTGCAGTGAGCTGAGATCCGGCCACTGCACTCCAGCCTGGGCGACAGAGCAAGACTCCGTCTCAAAAAAAAAAAAAAAAACAAAGTGGCAACAAACAGATATTGCTGTGTTACCCTAAAAAACTGTGACACCCCTGTGAATTTACTGCCTTTGCTGCAGCACCCCAGGGTGCCATGGTGCACAGTTTGGGAACCGCAGGTCCACACTTTTTATATCTGTGGAAGGGTTCCCTAAAGCTCTTTCATTATTTCATGTCTATTCAAGGAGAATAACTTTCATATGTATTTATTTGCTGGTTAGCAAGTTATTTAGCACAACTAAACTTAAGACCTAAATCTAGAAACTTTATCTGGAAAACAGGGAAGGTAATAGTATCCACCCTGGGATTATGCAGCTTAAGCGAACCAATGAATGTATAGCTCTTAAATAGTACTTGGAACACTATTAGTGATGATGTGGCTACTATCATTATTGTTCTTATTGTTGGTATTGTATAGCTGAATGGTGTGGTCTGATTATCTAAATGGTATGCTTTGGAGGTGTCTCTTAAGATCTCTACATTCTTAAACTTTGGTGTGGTAGGATTTCTGGAAATGGAGCAAGTGAGTCCCAGCTATTCATTAAGCCAGAAAATGGTCACTTCTAATGCTGATCAAAAGGCATGACTAACGTAGCAAACACTGTCTTTTGTTCTACCCTCTTGGAGCTGTTTGCTCAAGCCATGATTGGATCAGGCCTGATGACCCCTTTGGCATTTCAGGGTTTGGTGTTAACCAGTCTTGGTCCTAGAAGGCTTGTTCTCATTGACCTGTATGTAGTTAATGTTCAAATTTCTATGGAAAACATTCATCCGAATCAGCCATCACTTCATTACCATTTCTGTTTTATTAACACATTCAGAGTGTGAACCGGTTGGCAATGGAGACAAGAAAACTAATGAAAGGAAATCATTCCAGAAAGACGGCTGCATTTGTCCGGGTATGTTCTCAAGATAAGGACTGTCAGACTTCGAACTCCAGTGGGCTGTTTAGCTTGCGGGTTACTAAATTACTCTTCCCAGAAAAAGATGAATATGTCATGATAAGAATGGTTTAGTATTGATTTTTCAGATTAATTTTTCCCTGTATCTATGGGATGATCTATTTTCTAATGTTTTCAAGAGAAATGGTTAAATGAGTCTGAATTTTAATATGTGTTGTAGGGAAGGTGAATGAGCGATGGATCTGCATTTTTATGTGCCAGCTGAATTAGCTTTCATTTTCTCATATACTAATATAACACATATTTTATAAAATATAAAAGTTTCTAATATAAAAATATACATAATAATATTGTTCTTATAACTGAAAGACCTTTTTTCCTCTAGATAAAAATGATGCCCAACTTTGTTTTTGTTTTTTTTGAGACGGAATCTTGCTCTTTTGCCCAGGATGGAGTGTAGTGATGCGACCTCAGCTCACTGCAACCTCCGCCTCCCAAGTTCAAGTGATTCTCCTACCTCAGCCTCCCGAGTAGCTGGGATTACAGGCACATGCCACCATGCCCGGCTAATATTTTTGTATTTTTAGTAGAGATGGGGGTTTCACCATGTTGGCCGGGCTGGTTTCAAACTCCTGTCCTCAAGTTATCTGCCCGCCTCGGCCTCCCAAAGTGCTGGGATTACAGGTGTGAGCCACCGCACCCAGCCTGATGTTAAACTTTGAAAAATCATTTTCAGCTTCTTGAAGCTGAAAATTTTATCAGATGTGATGCTTCTCAAAATTTATTTATCTATTCATTCATGTATTTATTTTTGGAGACAGGGTCTTACTCTGTCACCCAGGCAGGAGTGCAGTGGTACCATCATAGCTCACTATAACCACCATGCCTAGATAATTTTTTTGTTTTTTTGTAGAGATGGGGAGTCTCACTAGGTTGCCCAGGCTGGTCTTAAACTCCTGGCCTCAAATGATCCTCCTGCCTCAGCCTCCCAAAGTGTTGGGATGACAGGTGTGAGCCACTGCACCCAGCCCTGCTCAAAATTTTAAGAAAGAAATGTATGTCTGTGTTTTTTCATGAAAAAATGCTCATCATCACTCATCATCAGAGAAATGCAAATCAAAACCACAATGAGACACCATCTCACACCAGTTAGAATGGCAATCATTAAAAAGGAAACAACAGGTGCTGGAGAGGATGTGAAGAAATAAGAACACTTTTACACTGTTGGTGGGACTGTAAACTAGTTCAACCATTGTGGAAAACAGTGTGGCAATTCCTCAAGGATCTAGAACTAGAAATACCATTTGACCCAGCCATCCCATTACTGGGTATATACCCAAAGGATTATAAGTCATGCTGCTATAAAGACACATGCACACGTATGTTTATTGCGGCACTATTCACAATAGCAAAGACTTGGAATCAACCCAAATGTCCATCAGTGACAGATTGGATTAAGAAAATATGGCACATATACACCATGGAATACTATGAAGCCATAAAAAAGGATGAGTTGGTGTCCTTTGTAGGTACATGGATGCAGCTGGAAACCATCATTCTCAGCAAACTATCGCAAGAACAGAAAACCAAACACCGCATGTTCTCACTCATAGGTGGGAATTGAACAATAAGATCACTTGCACACAGGAAGGGGAACCTCACACACCAGGACCTATTGTGGGGAGGGGGAAGAGGGCAGTGATAGCATTAGGAGATACACCTAATGTAAATGACGAGTTAATGGGGGCAGCACACCAATGTGGCACATGTATACATATGTAACAAACCTGCATGTTGTGCACATGTACCCTAGAACTTAAAGTATAATAAAAAATAAAAAGTATCAGTAAAAAATAAATAAATAAATAAATAAATAAATAAATATGTGTCTGTGTTTTTAAACACGAAATTATATTGAAAAGATTACGGTAAAAAATAAGCATCCTGGCTCTGCCCTTTGTCACGTTGCTTGTCTTTCCTCAGCCAGCCACCTCAAACTCTTTAGCAACTACTTCTAATTACCTCCATATTTTTAAGTAATTGGTTTAAACAGCTATTTCTCAGTTTATCAATGTTAGGTGCTACGTATTTACTTTCCATGATGATGGGTGAGGATTTATTTTTCCTGCATTATCACTCACTCTCCTCATATCCCCATCCTCCTTGAGGGTCATCAGACAGAGCAGAGTTGTACAAGAGGGGAAAATTGGGACTCAGAATGGGGAGATTCACTGTTGTAAGTTTCTTTACTTGGAAATACATGAGGGATGAAAATGGGAGTATGATTCTGCCACCGTGGCATTGCCAGCGTTAATGTTTCTTCCCTTCTCCTAGGCCTGTGTTGCCTACTGCTTCATCACCATCCCCTCCCTGGCAGGCATCTTCACACGTCTCAATCTCTACCTGCATTCTGGTCAGGTGGCCTTGGCCAACCAGTGCCTCTCCCAAGGTAAGTCCATTGTTCTCTCATCTCAGGCAGTCCCTTGCTGCTTAGGAAAACTGACTGAGGTGTGTGCATATGTGTGTGGAGAGAGACAAAGATTTCTTTTTTTAGAGACAGAGTCTCGCTCTGTCACCCAGGCTGGAGTGCAGTAGTGCAATCATAGTTCCCTGTAACCTCGAACTCCTGGGCTCAAGCAGTCCTCCCGAGTAGCTAGGACTGCAGGCGCACACCACCACACACAGCTAATGTTTTTATTTTTATTTTTTATAGAGATGGAATTTCACTTTGTTGCCTGGGCTTGTCTTGAACTCCTGGGCTCAAATGTTCCTCCCGCCTCCCACCTGGGCTCAAGTGAGCCTCCCAAAGTGCTGGGGTTACAGACGTGAACCACTGCGCTCGACCAAGAGAGATTCCTTTAAGGGGGAAAGAAAAAAAAAAGAATAATAAGTGATGAGTTTTAAATTTGTTTCTCTGCTAGGAAGCACATTGGACACATGCATTTATAGAGTCAGATCATAGAGCACAGATGTCTTCCTGTAAGAACCTTCTTAAATCTGCCTAGAACAGATCAGGTCGTGCGGCTCAGACGTCCTGAGCTCGGCACACCTGGGGAATGTGAGACATGAGGACTGCTTCACAGTGGCAGATTCATGTTTGTTTGTTGTTGTTGATGTTTGTGTGTTTGAAACCCCAGAGACACACAAGTACCATCTAATCTGTGGTAGAACAAATACCCTACAGTTTGCTGTTACAGATAAAATTTCTGCCCAAGACTGATCTTTCCATACTAGGCACCAAAGCCATCCATTAGGCAAGGATGCTCAGGATCGTTTATTTGGGAGAAGGTGATCTCAGTGCTATCAGAAGGGTGATGTGAGATGAGACAGGGAAGGAAAGGCAGCCAGAAAAACAGGCACCATCGAACAGGTCATTCCTGTGGGCAGCCGAAGCTCATTCCTATCTGGGCGGTGTTGTCAGACCTGGTTCTCCACCTGAAGGGCAAGGAAGACAGGTGATTTTCCCTTTATTCTCATCTGTCATTGACAGAGCGCTGCTTCTGAGATATTAACCCCCTGGCATTCTGGCCTGCTCCATACTTGAGCCAAGAGAAGGCACTCAGGTGGAAAGCCCCAGTGTTTGCTGCAGGACACCCTGGTTACCTGCTGCAACAGTGTACACCAAGGGCATGCAGGCAGGTCAGCAGCACGGTACCCACCCTGCAGGCCATAACACAGAGGGTAAAAGAAATCTTTACATGACATTTATGAAGCATTTGTGATGTGGCAAGCCCTTTGCACATGTTATCTCATTTCATCCTCCCAGCAGCCACATGGGGCCGGTGCTGTGGTTGGTTCCTCATTACCCAGGTGAGTAAACTGAGGCAGAGAGTGGCCAGCTAACTTGCTTGGGGTCGGTCCACTCCTGAGTCACTGAGCCAGCTCTCAGCCCCTGATCTGTCTGGCTCAAGGCCATGCCTCTTCACCACTGCATTGACTGGGAAGCCTAAAGGAACGCTGGGGCACTTCCATAGCACCATAGGAGGTGGACTGAGGTGTTCAGTGGTGGTTCTTTTCCCAACACAACTGCACAGATTATGCCAAGGCTGGCGCCTCACCACTTGTTGCCATTGTCTTGGTAGGGCATTCTGGGCCAGTTGGAGAGTGGTCACTCCTCCATTCTTTGAACCACTGCCATGGAAGTTCTGGGGACCATCTGTGTCTTGATTCAACTGGAGCAACTCTGAGCAGTGAAGTCTTCATACATGGTTGCTGCCCAGGAACCTTTAAAACTCTGCTTGGTTTTGCTTTTAACTCCTGGGGGACTTCAGTAGCTTCTGAGTGCAGCTGAACACTTGCCTCTTGAGTTCCCCTGTGAGCTGGTGCCTGCCCACCTCCATCCTCAACCGCCTGCATCCTCATCTCCCATTTGCTGTAGCCACACAGGCCTGCTTTTGTTCTTTGAACATGCTCAGTGGTCTCCCAGTGCAGAGCCTTTGTGGCTTTGTTCCCTCTTTCTACAATGATCTTTCCCCAGATAGTTGTAATTTTTTTAATGACAAGGCAGATGATGAGAACAAGCCACAGCTCCTTATGGAGGCCTCTGCTGGCCACTCTAGCTAGAGTCGCCGCCCCGCCCACTCTGTCACCTCTGCAGCATCATCCTCATCATCATCGTTGCACATTCCACTATCCGATGCTCGTTTACTCTGTTTGTTTACTTGCTTATTGTCTGTGATACCCCCTCTCCCACCTAGGACAGGCACGTGTCTTCATTGTGTGTAGGTCAACATGGAACTTTCTCCTACTGCTTGCTTTGGTAAGAATGATGGGTTATCGGGAGGCTGAGGCACAACAGTCGCTTGAACCTGGGAGGTGGAGGTTGTAGTGAGCCGAGATTGCACCACCTGAGCAACAGAGTAAGACTGTCTCGAAAAAAAAAAAAAAAAAGAAACAAAAATTAACAGTCACCACCAAAAACCTAGTGATGCACAGGATGAAAATTAGAAGACTGTTGGATATTAGAAATTTTAAATCTGCTTCTAAATGGGTTCCTTCTTTAAAAGCTCAGGAATGGTGGACCTAGGTAGGCATACCTGAGTTGGTTTTACCTGCAATAATAGGAACAAATTGTGAGCTGCAGATACCAAAGCTCTGACACACTTACCAGAACTGCAGGTGGAGGCTTTGGAGGCCTAGATCTTTCTTCTTCCACTGTTATAAAATCAGGACCATGGATTTGAATGTTGTGGATCTCGGGAAATTTATGGTTAGATGCCATATAGGGCTTCATTGTAATTTTTTTTGAGAAAGCAAAACAAAAATTCTCTACCTGGATAAAGGTATCCCCCTTATCAAAGATTTGGTGCTCCCAAGAAGTGTTGAAGGAGAGCTGTGAGTAATTTCTCCCTGTTGTACTTCCTATAACATCCTCCGCCCCCACCGAGGGACAGTTGGTGTAAGAACAGCCCCATACACTGTGCATGGATAAAGACAGCACCCTCCGTGTCAGGACTCTGGGCTCCTCGTCTGCCTCCTCTGTCACTTTCAGCTATTGCAGGAGAGTGGGAATGTGGAGTCCGCTTCATGTTTAATAATTTATCGATGATTTTTACTCAAGTCTCTAAATGCTATGGCGCTAAACCTTAAAAGCCTATTATTTTTCTCCTGAAAGCCACAGGCAGCAATTGCTGGCCAAAATAAATAATGCATTCAATTACTGAGAATGAGAAGGCTAAATATAAATTAAATGAAGCTCATGGAAATGCGCTGCTTTTGTTTGCCTCCCTAAACATCCTCCCCTTGCAGCTGGTTATAAAGTGTCCCCGTCCCTCCAGTTCTTTTTCTTGCCTCCCTTAATCTGGCCTTGGTTGTATCTTCTTTAGCAGGCTGTGGCTTTCCCAAGGCTGGGTCCATCCCGACAAGTAAACTCCTGTTGAACTCTCAGGCAGGCTGGTGCAGGAAGCTGATGAAGGCTTGTTGCAGGGGAGGCCTGGTTCTGTTTCTTTATACACACTAGTGCTGCACCTAGACTGGATTGTGCAGGGATTTGGTGCATATGCTCGTGCCCACCACCCCAGAGTATGTAGGAGAAATGAAGGACTTGCAAGCCAGAGATTTGGTCCATCAGGTGCTTCGCAACTGGAGATGGCCTAGCAATGCCTGTTTCTCTTTTCTTTCAGTCCCTTCTCTAGGTAACTTCTTGCCCTTGTTTGTCAATGGCTCTTTCTAGAAAATTATTACCAGGCCACAGCAAGAGCAGGCACTTTTTTCCTTTATTTTTACCTTTGTTTCTTTATCTTTACAGTTTATAATCTAGAAAAGGTGGGTGTTTTACAGGCCAGGCGTGGTGGCTCATGCCTGTAATCCCAGCACTTTGGGAGGCTGAGGTGGGTGGCTCACCTGAGGTCAGGAGTTCAAGACCAGCCTGGCCAACATGGTGAAACCCCGTCTCTACTAAAAATTTTAAAAGTTAGGAAGTTGTGGTGGCGCGTTCCTGTAATTCCAGCTATTCAGGAGGCTGAGGCATGAGAATCACTGGAACCCGGGAGGCAGAGGTTGCGGTGAGCCAGGATGTCACCACTGCACTCCAGCCTGGGCGACAAAGTGAGACTCTGTCTCAAAAAAAAAAAAAAGAGAAAAGAAAAGGGGGGCATTTCACAATGGAAGTATGTTTAAGGTGGGTCTTGGAAGAAGAACATGTGTTTATGAGGATGTGGGAAGGGAAGAAGGAAGGATTAGCATTCCTGGTAGAGTAAATGGCCTGAGCAAAGGCATGGAGATGTGGAATTACATGATGTATTTGGCCAGCAGCAGAATGTTGGGATGAGGCCCTAATTAGTATGGACTTTCAAGTCTTCTGCTTGCATTGGTCCCAGTCCTAACTCTGCCACCTACAAGCCAGGTGCTGTTGGACGACTCAGGCTTTCTGTCCCGTTTCCCCATCTGTAAAGTGGAGATGATGACAGTGGTGCCTATCTGTTGAGTGTTAAATGAGAAAATGGCCTTAGAGCACTTGGCCCACTGGCACATAGTAGCTGCTCAGGAAATATGATCTTAGTTTGTAAATGTCTCTCAAATGGTGAAAGTATGCCATGGGTTTTAGGAGCTAACTGTATTCAGTACATTGATAGCTGTTTGATTTTATAGTTTGAAAGCCAGATTATTTTTCACATGCAAAGCATTGGGGAATCTGTAGGAAACCAGATCTTTGTTTTGAGACAAACTGATGAATTACGCTAAAAAGAATTATGGTTCCTCCAAAGCTGAAACAAGATAGAAAGAACAATTAAAGAGAAATAGTGGTCAAAAGAATTTTTTTTTTTTTTTTTTTTTTTTTTTTGAGACAGAGTCTTGCTCCCTGGAGTGCAGTGGCGTGATCTCTGCTCACTGCAACCTCTGGTTCCCGAGTTCAAGTGATTATCCTGCCTCAGCCTCCCAAATAGCTGGGACTACAGGCATGCACCACCACACCTGGCTAATTTTTGTATTTTTAATAGAGATGGGGTT